TGCTTCATTCTGTCACCCATTCCAGCATTCCAATAGCTCCTGCACGTACATTAATTTGCTGCACAAAAAACATGTTGTTGCACCTTTTCTGTGAACTTACAATATCTGACAGGGTTGTAAGAATCATAGTTTGAAGTTAATCTGAAAACTTGAGTCAACTAACAGTTTTTCTTTCAACTTCAGTATGAAAAGGCTCAGATGGAATCCCAGGGGGTGGATATGACATAACCACAAGTATAAGTAGATTCTTTCCTCTTAAATCTGTAAAGCAATTGTCTTCCCTACTTCCGAGCCTGCTCACTGACATAAACAAACTTTCTTCCCAGAGGCAAATGTATTCTTCGGGTAGTATTTCAAATTAGGGGATGTAATAAACTTAGCAGATTTATTAAATTGGTATTGGTCAACCAGACACCCACATGTGTTTAGTTAGCCTCACTGCAAGAAAAAAATATGGGAATTTAAACACCTTTCCTCACATCAAGTCTTCTTCTGCATGTTCAGCCACTTATGAGTAAATATAAAATGCAAATGGAAGGGAAAAAGTGAATTCACACATTGTACAGAGGTATTGCCATAGGTGCTCAAGTACAATACCTCTACAGATTAGTGGAACCAAAGCCTAACAACACTTAGCTGAAGTTCATATTGAATTGGAGACAATATTTTGGCAGACCTAGGCCTTCCTAAGCACCACTTGAGCAGGCTACCATTGAGATGACAGTGACACTTAAGGCAGTACTTTGATGAAGTCCTACAATTTAAGCATATCTACACATGCTCAAGAGCATAAAGCAGAAACAGAAGGTAGTCAGCTGGGTCCTAGGGAGGCTGAGGACAAAAAGAAACACAGGGACAGGTCTTTTCTCTTGCACCTAAAATCTGCTCTAGTCTTTAGCCCAAAGAATTACTGGTCAGGGAAATCAGAGAAGCTGGAACTTCAGCAGCCCCTGCTGCCAACTCACATATACAATGCAGAAGAAGATCCTCAGATGGATCTTGCATTACACACTCCCATGATATTCCATAGCTTTCTCACACTGACCAAGAAATTTCTATTTGCTTGTGCACCTACCTACCTGAGGTACATAGCCTGTCTCCATCATGAGCAGATGAACCAGAACAATCAAGGCATCAGTGGCACTAGTACACTCAGCAGAAAGGTAGAGCATCTCCAAGGAATGGGGTATTTCACCATCAGCAGCTTCACTGCACAGCATGGGTTCTGAGGGATAGGAGCCTGTACCTTCTTCCAGGTCAACATCTTCTGGGACTAATCCAGAAGGAAATTCTAAGCTGGATCCTGCCTTCAGGAGAAAGCAAAAAATAACTTTGTTCAGAAAATTACGCCTCTGTATACATCAATATTTTACATCAATATTTTGCTTATTCCATTTCCCATGATTTCCCATACAAGTTGTACATACAAGATTCATTACACCTCCATTTTCCAGCATTCCAGATGGAGACTGGGATTATATACATAGCCTCTGTATCTTTTAATCTTTATAATACAAGTGCTTCATTAAAGGATCTGTCATTTTATTGCATACACAAATTGAAGACAACATGGTAATACTATATTAAACCTTCAGAATTAGAATTTTTGCAACATACACAGGAATAATTTAATCACTGTAGTATCACCATTAATTTGAATTTAGCCAACATGCATGGCAAGTAACCAAAATGGTAACTGGGACTGCCAACAAACACAACAGGCCTAAACAGCAGGGAAAAAAAAAATCCATGGAGTGCATCTGCTGTCACTTAAGGAGGACTGTGGCTTTATTGTAACTTCCTTTCTTCTACAAAAATCATACCATGTTATTAAGTTATCTGACAAAACTACAGACACATTACAAAAATAAAAAAATTGAAAGGGAAAGGTCATGAAAGGAAAAAAATAAGAGCCCAATTCCAACAGGCAGTGCCTGTTGCAACTGCTCAGTACCTAGAATCAAGAAGACAGCACTGAGGCAGGTAAGAAACATAATCCTAATTTCCTTAGGAAAAGTGCATGTTCCAGCAAAAACATTCACTCCTGTAAAAACATCAGATCTAAAACACTTTAGGCTCTCTGAATTAGCTTCTGTGCCACAGGTAATATACAATGTAGAGAGACAAATTTCCATTCAAATAACTGGATAAACACTGGACAGGTATTAGGAGCCAAATATTCTGAAGAGACTCTCTCCTATAGAGTACAGCAATTGACACAACAACATACCTTCTTTTTTGCCTTGTGCTGTACAGGACAATTCTCATCTACTTACCCTCTCATCACTCTTTTGAACTTCCACCTGAGCTTTCTGGTTGTCAGATTGTTCATTCTGCCCTTCTTCTTTTGGACTGTTTGCCTCGCTGTTGTTGGGGGTCAAGGTGGACGGCTCACGACCATTCTGAAGTGGGGGAGGAGGAGGAGTAGGAGCAGAAGGAGGAGGAGGAGGTAGGCTGGGTTGCCCATCTGCTTCTTCTAGAAGTAAGCATATCAAATCACCAGAAACAATCCCGTACGAAGCTAAGGTCTTCTGATCCTCTGTGAGAGCATCTTTTCTGTTCAATGTTATTGAAAACTTGGTATCAGAACTGAAAAATAAAAGTAAAAAAAAAAAAGTAAGGAAACATGGTTGGCTGCAACTGGGTAACTGCATACAGAGGTATATATGACTGGATATGGCACTTAGTGCTATGGTTCAGCTGACATGGTGGTGATCAGACAAAGGCTGGACTTGGTGATCCTGGAGGTCTTTTCCAACCTTAATGATTCCATGACTCTATAGTTAGAAATGCATACTCCGTTTAATCCATTAATAATGAGCTACATATTACAGAAAGAGTGAGGGCAAAAAAAAATCTATGAAATTATTTCCCCCCATGTTTCTCTCTAGGTACATTTTAAGCAACTGTAGCTGCTTGGTAGATAAAACTTCATTTACAGAAATTTCTCATAAAAAAGTTACAAGCAAAAGCAAACAAATGCCCTTCAAATTCGAAGATATCACACCTAGGGAAACAAGCTTTAAATAAACTAGTGGCTGAGATTATTTAAAAACAAATACTGCTGAAGACTCAACTATCTTGCTTTCTCATGAAGCAAAACATTACTTTCAAAGATCAGCAGCTGTCCTACAGGATAGTAGTCGCAAATGAGGGTAATAAGATAAGATGCTTCAGGGTAAGCACGGATGAAAAAAAAATAGAAATGAAACTGGTTAGCAGGGAAGCAGCTACCCTGAAATACACCCACTGTAGCAAGACAAGCAGCAACTTCAGATTTCTCCTGCCCACGTCACACGTGAATCACCAGTGAAACACCAGTACATCGGACCTAATTAGAGGATTGCGGTACAAACCCTTCAGCCACCGCCAGAAAAATCCCCTTTTGTAGGCGATTCTTAAATTGGTTCTGCAGACTTCACTCTCCTACAGAGTATGCCGTGAGTTCTTCACAGATAAAACGTTTACGAAATTTAAACCCGGGGACTCTCCAGGAAGCCTGAGGGAACTGTAAAACTGACACCCTGCACCCACTGTGTAACGTAAGGGCCACGCACAAACCCCAGTCAGCTCTGACTGAGTTGCGGATTCGCATTTCGCAGCCGAGCACGCCCGAAGTTTTGCTCTCCCGTTCCGCAGCGATCAGCCTGGAAGCAGCACGCGTCCCGGGCGCTGCAGGAGCCGGGACAGCAGGAGCCGGGGCACCCCCGTGCGAGGGGAAAAGCCCTCAGACCGGGAAGACTTCAATCCCCCGGGACGCGCTCCCTGGCACAGCCGCGCCCGACCGGCAGGGGGCAGCACTGCGTCCGGGGGGTCGCGGGGGGCAGACTCCCCCTCTTCCCCCCCCCGCGTGGTACGGCCCCGCCGCCCCCCTCGGGCCCCCCAATGGTTTGGTCCGCACGGTACCTGTACCCCCAGGCGGGCAGCAGGGCCGCGCGCAGCTGCGCGCGCAGCTCTCCCAGCGTTGGCTCCGCCCCCGGCAGCTCCAGGGCCGCCGTTCGCTTCTGCAGCCGCACGCGGAGCTTCATCGCGGCGGCGGCGCCACCGGGGTATGGGGGGAGTGTCTCCGCTCCCCCCTCGCGCCCAGAGCGGGCCCCGCCGGGCGGCGGCGGAGACAGTGGGGAAGGTGGCGGCAAGGCGCGGGCGCAAGGGCTGCCGGGCCGGGCCGGGCCGCGCCGTTGTTTTGGTTGTCGCGGCACCGCCTCAGCGCGGCCCCGGCCCCGCCCCCGATCGCTGCCTCGGCGTGCCGCGCTCTGACCTGCGCGGCGGCGGCCCCGCCGGGCGGCAGCGGCGACAGTGGGGAAGGTGGCGGCAAGGCGCGGGCGCAAGGGCTGCCGGGCCGGGCCGGGCCGCGCCGTTGTTTTGGTTGTCGCGGCACCGCCTCAGCCCGGCCCCGGCCCCGGCCCCGATCGCTGCCTCGGCGTGCCGCGCTCTGACCTGCGCGGCGGCGGCGGCCCCGCGCGGCCGCGATCGATGATTGGGCGTTCGGCTGCGCGCGCGCCCCCTCAGGCGGTGTGGGCGGAGCTGCCATTGCTGCGTGTGCGACCCCGGCTGTGCCTGTGGGCGCTGCTCCGTCCGCCTCAGCCCCTACCCTGCCACCGACGGGAGTGATCCCTGCGCCCTGGCTGCCCTCCTCCTCCTCCTCAGTGTAACACCGGGTCAGATGGTGTTACAGAATCACGGAATCAACTAGGTTGGAATCCTCTGAGATCGTTGAGTCCAACCTGTGACCGAACACCACCTTGTCTACCAGACCATGGCACTAAGTGCCATGTCCAGTCTCTTCTTAGACACCTCCATGGACAGTGACTCCACCACCTCCCTGGGCAACCCATTCCAATGTCCAGTCACTCTTTCTGTGTAGAACTTCTTCCTAATGTCCAACCTAAACCTCCCCTGGCACAGCTTAAGACTGTGCCCCTTGTCCCACTGCTGGTTGCCTGGGAGAAGAGACTGACCCCCACCTGGCAACAACCTCCCCTCAGATAGTTGTAGAGAGTGATGAGGTGTCCCCTGAGCCTCCTCTCCAGGCTAAACAGCCCCAGCTCCCACAGCTGCTCCTCATCGGACTTGTCATCCAGTCCTTTCACCAACCTCGTTGCCCTTCTTTGGACATGCTCCAGCACCTCAATATCCTTCCTAAATTGTTCTGAAGCCAAAAATGCCAGCGAAAGCCTGGTGCTGGCTGCATGTCAAGCCATTGGCAAGGCTCATGGAAATGCACAAGGGGAAGGGCTGAAGGAGGATGCTGCCCCTGAGACTGTTTAGTTTTATAAAGGAACCTGACTTTTCTAGACCAGACTACTGAGTTGTCATCTCAGAAGTGGTGTTACAACACCTTTGGTCAAATAACCTCACTGGAAGTATTAAGTGGCACGAACTGAAGTTTACTGGCTCTAGGTCACCTGTCAAACATGGGAGAAAATCCCCTCCCTACGTCTTGGATCTCTACGAAAAGTACTCTCAGGTTTATCTGGAAATAAACACTCTACTACTAAGAGTACTAGTAGTAGTACTAGTACTTAGTACTACTAAGTATAATGTTGATTGGGGGAATAATGTAAAAGGCACAATTTATTTAAGTTTTCACTTTGTTTAATGAATTATGCTGAATTCAAAAAGCAGTGAATTCAGAGGTAACTTAGAAAAATGCATATTCTCAGATCATCTTGGGTTTTTTTCTAATGATAAAATTTACTTGCATTTCTCCATACAAAGAATAATACAAGAAATGTGAGGTGCAGGAAAACTGAGATACTTTCTAGAAGTATAATACTTAAATAATAAGAGAAATCCAAAGACCTAGCTTGCACAGCTATCACAAAATACAACTGCTTATTAGGGTCTTATTCACATTGCTTAACCTTATAGAAACAACCCTACTTGTGTCCTTTCAACACTTAGAGAGCCAGTCAGAAAAAGGACACTGAAACTTCAAAAATTCTCTTTTGGGCTACATGTGAAATTTCCTTTATGCCGTCTGAACATGGTCATCCAACCCAGGAAAATGTGGTTGCTAAATTTTCATTTTAGAGTTCACCATCAGATACGTCTCAAACTGAAGGGCAACCATCATCTTTTTTCAACACATCAATAAATTCCTCAGTGGAAAGGTGATGAAAGGAAAGGCAAGGAGTCTACTGAGGTGGAACACCACTCATTGAGCAATGGAAGAGCTGATGCTCGTTACAATCAGCTCAGTGTAACTTATCAGGCCCTCAATGACAAACATTAAAACAAGTGATTTCCTGAGAACCTGCACCCTTTGCCACCCCCCTTTTTGGAGGAATGCTTAGGCTGTTGTCATCAAATGGGGTCACATCCTGGCTAAATCCAGAAGAGCGGGTTGATGGAGCACAGGGGGATGAGAACGGAATTGGCAAGAAGGGTAGAAAGGACTGTGCTTGTCAGAAACTCTGCTTTGTGCTCTCTGAAGAAGGTTGAATCCAAAGTGAGTCATGCTGCTACCTCAACCATTTTCCATTGGCCATGAATGTCCTGCTATGTTTCATTCTTTAGAATTATCCCTGTCCCAACCACATGCTGTTATCCCACTGGCTCCAGGGCATTTTAGTCTGTGCTCTTTTGAAAGGGTGGAGGAGGCTTCCCTTCTTTGGGAAATGTCCCTGGCTACAGTTGTGGTGCTGCCAGGAGAACCACCATTTCAGTAACTTGCACAAGCTGAAGTGATTGTGTGGCATAAAATGGTTCTGTTTCTCAGAGGCTGGCTATACTCACTGTTAGGTAACCAGCTACATGAGTTACAAGTGAGCATTTCTGCTGCCATTCTGTGAATTTTTCCTTTGAATTTTATGAGTCATGCCATAATGTAAGGTTTAGACATGTTTTCCACACAGCACTATTAAACAGGAAAACCTAGGAAACAATTAGGATGAAAGGCTAAAACATTTTCCTCAGCTTTCAAGTCTGGAAAATTTCAAATGACTCAACACGACCATTATTTTTTTTCCCTCACACATCATCCTAGAAGAAAGGGCTATTATTTTATGAGTTACAGCTTTTCTCCACCATTTTAATTTTGTCTCAGTCTGCAGACAAAAGATTTTCAATGGCCACATATGACATTGACCTCAGGCTGGGAAGGGCACATGCAAAACAGTACAGGAAACCTGTGTGCTTAAAACCTTGAAAAAATGGTTGTGTAGAGAAGAATTTTGACTTTCAGTATAGTTCACTCTTATCAGAAATTGTGAATTATTTTTAAGTAATTCCTTAAGATAATACACAGTATGGTGACAAAAGAAAGCTCCTTGTCAGTAGTTTAGAATGGTTGTTAAAGACAATATTGTTTCTCAACTCAAAGGATTTTATTGAGGATTTTTCTTCCCCACATGATCAGTGTGAAACACAAGCAATAGAACCTGTTCCACCAAAGCAGTAAAATCCTACTGATAGTCCTAGTGGGTTCTCTTGAGAAACTTGAAACTTAAAGCTGTAGTACTGTTGACCTAGTCCTGTGGCAGAGGAGAACTATAAAGAGTAAAGGTCTCTTTGGTTCAGTTACATACCTCATGGAAATATTTTTTCTTCCTGAAAGTTGAGTGTGGTAATAAAGCTGTGAGAGAGTGGACCTTTTCCATTATTTTTCTTTATGTATTTGCCACTACAAAGAATGTATTTTATAATACATATAAGTAAATATGTATGTGTGTATATGTTAAACCTTATGATACACATATTTTGAATGACAAGGGTCACACTGAAACCTGTGAAAGAGGGTGGAATGAGAAGAAGGGTATGAAGGCTAGAGTATCATCAGGAGATCTGTGCAAGTCTGAAGTGGCGTTTTAAGTGTGCCAATGGAGGAGGAGGTTCAAATCAAAGCTAGTGGAGAGAACCTCCTAACTTCTTACAGTTTGCTAGTGGCCAGCTTTGCTCCTAAAAGGTATTTTAAAGCCCATTGTGTTGATGCTCTATAGCCAATACATTTACTGGAGCTCTGCTTTACACTGTCTCAAATTGGTTGAATACAGATGACTCTTAAGCAGTGTCTGGAGTTTGCTCATGTAGCTCTTAACTGCACTGTTTCTGATTAAAATCTTGATCACAGGGAGCAAAGGACCTTTCAGTGGGTTTTCTGGAGTTTGCCAGATTTCTTCAAACCTTTTTAGCTACAACTACATTTTCTTGGATTTACGTATTTTTAAACAGTATTAAATTGCTGGGAGTTGTGTGCACTCCGAGATCAGAGTTTGATATCTTTGCATTAGCAGACGAAAATCGTGTTTCTCTGGGTAGTAAAAAGAGGCTCAGGTTTTTCCTAGGGAGGTTATTGCATCCACCTCCTAGGAATCTTACAGGACTGCAATTTGTGTGAAACCAGGGTGGTAGCTGCTGAGGGTGAGAGAGTTCCTCATGCTACTGTCAGCTCCATGAAAGTAACAGACTGGTCGGACAAGACTCTAAGAGTGAGCCAACAACTGGGAGAGAAGGAAGCTTAGAACAGAACTATGCAAATGATGGACTCAGGTCTGAATCTAGGCAATTCAGATTTCAGACAAATAAGGCCTGCTGCATTTCTGCTCAAGGTCTCAATATATCTTACTCTTCTGCTGTCTCTTGGGAACCAGCTTAAGTGCACCCTTACAGTTCTTAGCTGTGAGGGCAAGCGTGCAGGGCAGCGCTAGAACAAGGACACTGATTTTTGTTTCACTAAATGGTCTTTGGTAAAAATGAACCTTGTGGTCCTAGGAGGCTCAAGTGCAAGGATAAGGCAGTTACAGAGGTCAGCAAAATTAACTCAATAGATCCAAACAGTGACGATGGTTTTTTCCATCAGCTCATCAGACAACTGCCTCCCAACATTGTTATCCATTGTTAATGGAATCTGTGTAGGCATTGCAGCTATGCTATTTATTTTGCAGCCTGACACAGATTAATAGTTCTCTGGCAATCCTGCTCCAAGGTTTTGAAAGCCTTTATGAAGGGCATCAGTAGTCAAGCCACGCTCAGGAAAAGCTGTGGTAACACAAAGCTTTTGCAAAGCCTCTGAAAAATCAGGGGGTGCCCCAGACATACTCACAGATACAACCTGTGGGGGCAGGGGTGGCTGTTGCCTCCTGTGGATTCTGTTGGAAGATTTCATTGAGCTACATCATGGGCTGTCTCATGAGCTGGGAAGTGGATAGCATTGCTTTCCACACTGCATGGAGGAAACCACGAACAGGAACTTACTGGAGTTTTTCTCATTCAGTGGGTATTTCCAGTAGTTGTGGAGAGAGATCATCTGCTTTTATGCCATTTAGCAAACTCCTATCTGTGACAATTGCTGTTTTCTTTAAGCATTCCTTCAATATGTCTCTCCTATCAACCATATTAACTTTGTATTCCTTTTCCCTCAAGAGGTGATTTTCCATATGGAATATCAGTGTGTGGGAAGGGTTAAAATCTTGAGGCTAGTGAGTCTTTTTTGCTTTGACATTGTTAAGTGAGCTGCAGAAACCCTACCTGTTCTTGAACATGCTGCAGAGTAACTAGAGACAATGGAGCAAGGGAGAAACTGAAAAATCCAGTCCCAGTTCTGTGATAACAGCAGAGATATTTTGGAAACTAAAGTGCTCTTTCTGGACCTCAGGTTGGGTAGACACTATATTTGCTATTGTGTTTGAGAACTGTTTGTCTTGGGTTTGTTAACTACTGGGGTAACTAAATTTTTCAAAGGGAAAGAAACCCTTCTGTGGGCTGCATATTGGAGAGTTTTGTGCAGGACCAAGGCAAGATAAGGACAAAATTCTTTTTTAAATATACTCTATTGTATTTCAGAGGATGGTCAGTTTAAGCTAGTGTGTTTTTATGGCTGTGTTAAACCTCTACAGGACAACTATAGTGGGATTTTTTGTTTGTGTGGGTTTTGGTTTTCTGTTTTGTTTCATTTTGTTTTTTTACTTCGGGAGCTTGCTTAAGTTCCTAGGTGGATTTCAGCTGTAATCTTTATTGCAAGTCTTATTTAAAGTTTTTATAGATTGTTCACAAAGGAGAAACCAGATGTATCTACAGACTGGTAGGCGGAGTACTTCGTTAGGGTGAGACAGGTACACAGTCTGAAACAAAGACCTTCATCTTTTTTCTCTACTTCAAGTACTTGAATACACTATCTCTGAGAAGACAAAAGAATTAAGATAATTATTTACATACAGAAATTGGTCTATGCCTGCTCAGTTACTGAAGATAAATATCAGGGCAATTTGTCTGACATCTATTGTCCTTGGCAATACAATTGGCAGCTCTCATTTACTCTATCAGGCAGCTGACAAGTTCCTTCTCAGGTCTGCCTGCCTCAGTCATCTGACTGACCTTGTACAATCGATCCTGGCATCTGAGAGAGGCTCGGGGCTTGGATGAAGCCAAGAATATCAGCCTTGGAGTGCAAAAATAAAGCTTGTTGGTGTGAGTAAGCGATATGAAATGATACTGCCTTTTATTCCCAGGGCAGTTCCGTTGTTTGTTCTTTCAGCTTCTCACTCAACATCCATTTAAGATCCAAACAAGAACATATCAAAGTACAAGTGCAAAGCACAGTAGTGGCTAAGATTGCTGTTTTCTGTTCCTCAATGTGAATGAAATGCAATGGGAATGAGGTACCTCATCTGCATCAATGCTTCTAGCAATCCTGCTGGATAAATATCTAGGAAATATTTATGTACTTTATTGATAGAAATATCTGTCTTTCTGGTTTCACGTTGATTTTTAATTGATCCTTATTAATCAGGATTGAAGGTGGCATGTTTGCAGGAAAAGCTAGGATAGTTTTTGGAAAGAGTTTGAGTTTTGTGACTTCAGCAGGCTGTTGTGCATAATATTACATTGCTACCTTAAAGTATGTATTTTGAGTTGCTTAAAATAGACAAAACTAAAAAGGCATAAGAACTAGAGATGGAGTGACCAATTAAAGGGGGCATTTTCAAAATTTGTCCCAGTGTGGATTATGTATTCAGAATGTTGTTTCCCTGAAAACACTTTTTCTTGCATGGTATCTTAGGATAACTTTGTAAGGATTCCTCAGAGAACCGATATCAGGGCAATATTGAAAATACATTTTGTCAACCTTACAGTGCAGAAACCACCAAAGGGCAGTTTTTTATGAGTTACTGAGCAGAACACAGATTTTCAACCATTTAGAGTCTGACCTGATAATATTAATTACAACACCAAGAAGTAAGATACAAGTAGAAGAAGAAGGTAGAGGTAAGACTACCAAAGGGTGGTGGGGTGTGGGTTTTTTTGGTGAAGGGGAGGGTTTTTTCTTGTTTTAATTCATTTACATGTGTTCTGCCAGATTATGGAAAACTATCAAGACCTTTTGCTACTTATGAATTAGTATGGTTTTGTACATAGGCAGGTACCATGATCCCAATCAGATGTGCACCTCCAGAAAAGGATGTGTCATTCCCCTCCGTGGTAAGGCCAGAGTAGAGTTCCTGTAGGTCCCTAATAAAGAGTTTTGTAATGCAGCACTGAGAAGACTTGAAGCTGTCTTGAGAAACAGTATTATTATTTCTAGGAAATTGAGCAGTGGCTGTCGGGATGAATGCAAGAATTTTGAACAAAGAAGCCTTACTTTTGTACTGGAATGTGTCACAGAAAGATACAATTTGTCTCAGCTTTTGTGAATCTGTGTTGTGTGGTTATGTCTCACCATGCAGTGGCTCACAGTCTTGCTTTGCACTGCCACAGGCTCGTGCTAGGACACCTTCCTCTACTCCTGTGTGATGTTCATTCTGCAGGAGGAAGGACAGATGGTAACATTAAACAGCCAAGATATGGATGTGGGGAAAGGATAGAGTAGTGGAGCTGAACTATTCAGTCTCACCAATAGCTAATACCTGCCCAAGTGATATCCAAGGACTCAGAAATATGTGCCTGCTCCTACACTGACTTCTTCATGCAATAAAATCATAGGCTAAACCTCTCTTGCCTATCCACCCTTGTCCCAGTTTCATTGAGGGAAGTCATGGATACAGATTTTTTGCAATTCATGGTATGCATCATTTATGAAAATGTTTGTATCATAAATTTTATTAACAGATCCCTGTGACAAAGGTGAGAAGATGCTAAAGACGTGGTATTTTGTCCTGCTCTGTTGGCTGTCCTTGCGGCTTGAAGCTAATCCTGGTCTTAAAGTGAGGATTACTCAGAAGGGGCTGGACTATGGTATGTCTAACATTGCCAGAAGTTAATTTATCATAAATACTCTATGTACAGAATATAGTTGCTTAATAAAGGTTCAGTTTTATTTAAGGAACAAGCTCCTTAAATATTGAAGTAGAGTAAATTCCTTTTGTCACCTCACACCAGGAATACCCTTTGTCTCTTCTCTCACTTATTTCCTTCTTTTTTTGTGTATCCCAAGTGTGAATTTATCTTTTATTGGTGACTGCATTCTCCTACAGTCCAACCATCTTTCTACTACATCCTTCATATTGATATACTTTTTAAGAACCATAATTAGAAAGTCAAATAATTGCTTCTTTTTTAAAAAGTGTCAAACCCCTGACTTAAAGTGCAATATTTAATTGAAGATAGTAAGACACAATTGGGACAAAAAGCTTACAATCTTGGAACAGCCACATAGCCACTTTTACTCTCATTCCTCCATTTGACATGGCATAGCACCTGCATGTGCCATTCTTCGAAAAAAATCTAGTGACTGCCATAATTCTGCCCCTTAAACAGAATATTGGCAATTTCCACAATATATTTTCCTTTCTCTTTCTATTCATGCTAACTTTCACTGTCTCCTACCTAAGACTTACTCCATGGGTGTGGAGGGCACGTGGTACAATTTCAATTGTTTACAGAATTAATAATAAAGGTTAACAAGGCACAAATTCAACAAAGGCTGGGTCATGCTAAGGATTAATCGTCATTTATGTACTGAACATGCTGACAGGTAAACAATGGACTTGTGAGATGAAAAGTGGAAACTTGGGCTTCATGTCTTTGAGATGAAAGCGAGGATCAGGTCCACTTATTTTATTGTATGAATATTGTTTTAAAGGCTTTTGAGGAGTTGAAAACTGCGGGGCAAACATCAGTCACCCAAACCAATATTGACCTCCCTTGCTTCCAGGGATCTCTCATGCCTTTAGAAATGAGAATTCAACCTGGTGTTTCTCAGCATGAGCCCAGCAGTTTTTGTGACGATTAGCATGGTCTTCCGAGCACCGAATGAACAGACTAAGTTGGCACACCCCTGCATTAATAGTAAGAACAGACGTTAGCAGAGCTCCTCCCAAAGGTATTTCTCATATTTGAAGAGCTTGGTGCCTGACACATCCTCTCCCTTCATGTGAGATTTGAAGGCTAAGGCAATAGATCCTGCCTGCGTGCTTCTTGCCTGCTGCAAGAACCTTGAGAGGAATTTCACCTGGGATCACTGGCTGACTCCAGTGACAGTTGTAAGAGAGCTTTAAGTTATTTCAGTGAGAGCCCATAATTTGCTTTGGAGACAGGAATTCCCAGGGAATCATAACTTACTTCTCCTTCATAACAGATGCATTTTATGAAAAGGTATTCCAGTGTTGAGTTCTCACAAATTTCAGTTCCTTGATTTTTTAATACTATAGAGCCTAGTGGAGAAAAAAATCCAGATATTTTCTAGTCAGCAATTGTGAGGCCAAAAGCTAAAGAAATTCATGGTAAAAACCTCTGAAAGCAGGATATCATTCAGTATTAAAATTTCAGTTTTGTCTTAATCCAAGATAAGTGAAAAAAGGAAGATACAAGGAATCTGGAATTTAAAGATGCTCTGTTTGGTCATAATAGGGTCTGTGTATATTATCATTGCACAAGTAGCATCAAAACATTCAAGAAAGTATGGATGCCTTAGAGCAAGGGAAGCAGGTAAGAAAATAAGTCAGAGATCTGTTGCAGGCTTTAATGGTTAAGGTGCAGTGGCAAAATATATACACTGTGAAATAAATGGGAAGAAAACATTTAAAAGGATTGTCTTTCAACCTCAAACAACTTCCTGTACACAAGCAACAATCCAGATAGTTCTGCATTTGACATACCGGCACTTCAGATGCATATATCACACTTTTTCCATAACTAAACACTACATATAGAAGTCACCTTTCTACTTTATAACTGGCTTTTTCATCCGACAGGTATGAGACAATCTGAGGTAAAGGTGATGACCAAGAATTTTCCAAGCTATCCACATTGTGAGTGAAGGAAGTATAACAGTTTCAGAAATCTGACAGGAGTTCTAGAAGATGAAATACAACTCAGGGACAAGATGATCCTAACACATATTTTTGATCTTGGGTTAAATGGTTTGTATGTGAGGCTAAGAGAAGTTATAAATGCGTATATACGTAGTTGGAAGGAGATCTAGGTAAGGATCATAGAATCAAAGTGTTTCAAGAACTGTGTTAAAAGTGATGATTAAATTATTTGGCAGTATATATGGACCTTTGGGTGCCAGAATCCAATCTGCAAGGCACATGCTTTCCTATGTCCCCTTGTAGGCAGGAGGATTGGGATGGAGCTCGTGAAGCAAGCAGTATTGAAAGAGACCTTCCCAAGCTGGAGCGGGCAGGAGAGTTTGTCAGTTGTTAAGGTCAACTATGTAATTTCTAGGTAAGTAAAGGAAATAAATGTCAAAGTTTTAGGATGAAGCAGCTTATTGTTACCACATAGTAATAATTATGTAGCCACTGTTTTGTTCAGCATAAAATTTTAATGGTTTATCTAACTCTGCTTCCACTGCCCAAACACTGACTTGTTTTAAAAGTACTTTTTCTACTACACTCAGAGATGAGCTTTATAAAGCTCCCAAAGGAGAACCTTGGCTGGTTTTTTTCAGTTGATTTGTATCAGAGTTTGGGGCAAGACAGGTGTAAGCATGGTTGTGATACAGCAGGGGAAGTAGGTGGGAAGGAGAGCAGAATTGGTGTTTTTAACACTCTGCTATTATAAAGGACCCGTAGCGGTGAAAATAATTTGTTTGTGTTTGATGAGAAAAAGCCAGCAAAGGGATAAGATATATGCAGGGGGTGGTGTATGTGGGCTGATGTGGCAGGAAGATGACTTCTGCTGAATTTTTTTGGATGAATTTACAATGGTAAATCACCATTTTGACTGGATAGTGCTCGACACCTACTAACTGTAAAGGAAAATCTTTGTACCAGGAGCAGCCAGTAGAGACACAGTTTTATAGAGTTTCCTACAAGTTCTCCAAATATGGAGACTAGTATGAAACCAGGTTTTTCTACAGTCTTCAATCCTACCTTCCAATATGCTGCTCAGTAGCATTTTACTTCTTTGCAGGTTACCCAGAGGGAGAAATACCACTCTGAGAGACTTCATGTACTTTCTGCTGGATAGGGCCTGCATCCCTTTCCTAACATCCTGCTTTCTGGCAATTGTTATACCATTTTTGCTATGCTGTCCTTGTGCCTTAATCCCTGTACGGCTGAGAGAGTTGTGTTCCGAAAGGCTGGAGAAGAAGAGACTGTGGGGGTGGAGGTGCATGTGTCTTATTGCATGTCTTCCACTGTCTGCTGGGTGTTGATTATAGAGAATATGGAGCCAGATTCTCCCAGGGGCACACAGTGAAAAGGTGATGGGCAAAAAGACATACTACATCAAGAAAAGTAGAGAAGCTAGGAAAATTGCTAGAGCACCAGAACAAGGGCTGAAAAGGCTGGGGAATCTGGATCCTTGGACTTGTTCAAGACTCAGGTGGGCCAGAGCCCTGAGTTCTCCCAGCTCTGAGTATTAGGTTGAACCAGAAAAATCTCCTGAGGTCCCATTCCAGCCTAAATTATTGTATGATCTTCAAAACCTCAGTTCATTCCCCCAGCCATAGTTCTTGAAATTGGCCACCATCTCAGTGGATAATCTGATTTTAGCTCACTGGAAACAAGACAACTAAAGGCAGAGTTACTGCTCAAGATGTTATTGGAAAACTATGGTCATTTTAACTAAGGATAGTTGGTGCCTGCTGCCCCAGGGAAAGCAGATTAAAGACAATTGTTTCGGAGATCTCTGCCAGATATCAAGAAACAATGAGGAATGTATACTACATGATAAGATTGCAGCTGATATCTTTACAATGTTCAACTCAATTCAACACACCCATTTGAAAGACAATATCTGACAATTATCAGAAACATTTGTTTTGGAAGGGAAATATTCAAGTAAGATTTTGTTTAGAAAAATGAATGCTCTCCAGAGCCCTTTGCTTAGGCAAGGAAGCAGAATGTGAAAACAAAAACTTTGATGCTCTTCAGCAAATGCAGCATTCAGACAACCTGGATTTACTTATAGATGTGGCATCTGGGATTAAACATAGATTTATTTTTTTCCCCAGCAAGGAGATTTTACTTTAAGGAGGTTTTTTTTCCCAAGGGGAGGTTTTTTGGGGGGGAAAAAAAAAACCCACAACAGCATGCCTGATATCAAGGATTCTTTTTCCAAGGATGCTGTGAGGTGAGGTGTAATGTCTTTCTTTCCTAAAATAAACAAGGGTCAGTCATTTCTGAGAAATTCTTTTACTGAAGCATAGACTTTGCCTTTTATAGCAGAAGGGTTTTCAGTGATCAGGAGTCCTTCTTACTCTTTTGGCATGCACTCTAATAATCCCCCTTTCTGTATTCTGTAGGCTTAGAATTAATGCTGTAGATTTCCCAGAAACTTCTGCTTCTTTTATTCCTGGCACTGGCATTTGTCTGTCAGTGGCACAGGCTTCTGCTACAATCAGTGCAGACTGGAGAATGAACGCATGGCTGCTGTAAGTATTGGACAGAGAGATGCACGTGGGAGGGGGTGGTTCTGGGACATATACTGGGTATTATTTTTCAGGTCAGATATGCTGTATCACTTAACAGCAGTCTAAGAACAATCTATTTGAATAAACTTATTAAGAAGGAAACATCCCCTGACAACTAATGCTTTTTCTTTTTTTAAATTATTCAACCCCACAGGTTGTCTCTGTGGAAAGTATCAGGTCAGACATCTGTTAGCATGCTCAGTTTGTCCAGACATGAACATGAATACTCAGGACCACAGAGTTTGTAATAGCCAACATTTGTTACTTTCTTTGTACAGTATAGCTGGAAGGTTGACTCTGTAGCTTATTATCCATGTGCTGGTACAGTGTATATTGCCTTCCAAAGAGCTCCTATTAAAGGAAGAGGACTGTCACAATGCCAAGCATTCAGAATTTCAGAAAGTCCAAAATTTAGGTCGCTATGGAAAACTGACATCTTCATAAGCCTGTGTAGTATGAGATTGTTTTTAATGACATGATTGCATACTGTTTTTTCCACCTTTTTCTTATCTCAGCATTTTTGCCATGGAATTTTAATACAATAGTCTAGCTTTTCTTGGGAGTGTTGGAGGGCTAAAACTTCTGGGATATCAGAAAGTTTGCGAGGTGCTAATCTCTACAATTTGGGTTAATAGAGCAACTGGTAACAGCAGTAGGTGTTGCTCTGCTGTGAGCCAGATAGCACAGCAAGATGGATCACCAGGCTGCAAAGTTTCACAGCACGTCCTGATTTCAGAGGAGCATGGACATGCAGTTCTGCATTCAGTCTCAGTGAGACTGGTGGCTATAAACTGCTGTCACTGTGCCCCCAACCTCTCTGTTCTTTCTTCTGTCATACGAGTATTATGAGGAAAAGGAGACTGTGTTCTGCAGGGCAGATCAGCTGTTCCTAAACACTGAAGTCACCTCTCGCTCTTGCTGAAGGATAAGGACCTGGGCATAATCTGGAGAGACTCCAGGCATATAAAACACCAAAGACTTCACAGACAGCAAGGGAGTCAGGGAGCTGTCATGCGTGATTTTGGCAGAGCAGATTGTGGTGGAGGTGGTCAAAGCTGGCTTTGGTGGAATTTAGGGGGCGAAGGGGTTTTCCTGCCTTTTTGAAGGACTAATCTGTGCTGCTTTGTCCTATGTGATGTTTTGTGAATGACTGTGAGTTTAGACAGATCTAGAATATGCCCTACTCTTCATCTCCTCTATCTTCTAGTCCTACATGTTGCTTTCAGAATAGCAGATTAAGAGGGGCCAGCTGAAAATGAGCTTTCCAAGTGAGACCATTGACAAACCACCATTCCTGGGCTGCTTCCAGGATCAGGAAGATGGGTCTTATCACAGCTTTTTAATTGCAATAGTGTTATTCATTTCAGCTCTGGTGCATTTCCAGCTCTCACTGTAGTCCTTCTCTCCACTACGTCCCAGAGCAATTTACCAGTCATAAAACCTCCTGGCAGGCCCATTGCTCCTGAAGGCCTAGAGCTGTGACCCTGCCTTAGGAAATCAGGATTCCTTCTGAAGAAGAGTACATATAAGGATGCAGGAACAAAATACCTAAGTAGCTGGGTTGCTCCCTACCTCCCATGTAGCCCAAAAGGGGAGGACGGCTGAGATCCTTTTCCAATGGTCCCTGTCACTGAAGGATGAGTAAATCTAGGTTGGAAGGATCTCTGGAAGTAGTTTTACCCAGCCTCCTGCTCAAAACAGGAGTCACCAGACTAGATCAGCTCAGCTCACTAGTGATGTTTTTTAGCCAAGGATGATGACGCAACAATCTTTCCAAGTAACTTGTCCCAGTACTCACAACTCTCCTTGGGAAAATGTTTTTCCTAATGGCTTCTGGGATGGTAGCTTGGTTAGGGACTGGAAAATGAGGATCTGAAGAGTGGTGCTTCCTCTACATAGCCACTTAATGAACATATATGAACTGAAACAGGAGGTTTAAAATGGTAATGGTGGTAGGATGAACTTTGTGACTGGCAATACTAGAGATTAGTTTGGGCCGGGGCAGTCTATGGTTAGGGTAAAAATTTATCTTTTGGGATTACAGCTTTTTCCAGAGATATTTTGCTTTGACTAAAAAAATTAAGAGGAAGGAGGAGAGATTCATGGTTCGAGCTTCATATTGGACACGGCTCTTTCTCTGTAGTATGGTGCCATCACTGTAGAAATTAATGCCTGGGAAAAGAAAACTCAAGTAATCAAGATGAAAGAGTTAAAAGTGATGTGTTTAGTGTCAGTTCTGTTACAGTAAATGAGGTTTTTATAAGGCTGTTCTAACATTCATTCAACTTTTAATCCTGCTTGGCTGGTCTTCAGCTTCTACAACTCCTAACCAGAAGCCTAATACCTAAATTTTTTGGAATTTAGGTATAAAGATATTTTTGTTGGGAGTCTTAGTAGGGATTTTTACAGAAAGGAGAATGAATGGGTTTGGGGCAGAACAAAAAAATGTATACATTTAAAAGAGTTACTGAAACAGGAAAGAGGAAAGTGGAACAATTACAAAGTTGATAACACTTGGGTTATATATTTATTAGCTAACTGGCTTCTGCTGCTGCAGTCCCAGAGACCTTTAGGGTAATCTATCATGAAGGACTGGAATGTCTTGTGCTGCTGTGAAATTGTGACATTTTTGTAAACTTGTCAAATCCTGAACAACACTGGAAAATTCATGTCCTGGAAACACGTGCATATAATCTGTTTTTGAATACCAGGCATGTCCCTAATCTACTTTAATCCCTAGAAAGCCCATTCTTCATTCTAGATAATAGAAGCAAGAAGTCCTTTCAAACTTGATTTACAGGCAGTTTCTTAAATTGTTTCCTTACAGCAGATGTTTTATTGACTGAGTTTGACTTTTTTTGTCCAAGCAGCAAAGGCAAAGGAGAAATTACTGTGTCCATCTCAGGACTGTTTATTTCCATTATCTTCAATGTGTCACGGGATAGCACAGGCCACTTGTCCACATTGCTACACAATTGCCAGCTGAGCATTGGCAGTGTAAAAGTCAAGTTAAGTGGAAGATCTAGGTACGTACAGCAATTTTTCTAATTACCCTCTGGGAAGTGGCAGGGTTTGTAGCATAAGGGACACTTTTCAAATTTTGATTTCTAGGGATCCAGTTACAAAATGTGATTAACTATTGAAGGCTCTGAAAGTGGATTTTTAATGTTCTGTTTTCCAAAACAGGCTCTTTTGCTGAATGTGTGAAGTGTGGTTAATCTACATTTCTTTCTGCATGTGCCAGCAATTGAGCCGACTGGACATACTGCATATGAAAGCATTGACATTTGACCATATTAAAGAGTACAGGATTGCAAATGGTGGTTCGTGGATGTAAAAGTGATGTAGACCTTTTGACAAGCTGACCTACAATTTGAGAATAAAGCTTTCAAAAGAGACTATGAAACAATGCTTATAGTTCTTATTTTGATTTTCTAGAATTTTTTTTCTTACTCATGGACAAAATGTGGCTAATTGAGCATCATTTATCAACACGTTAACATGAACATCCACAGCTATGCAGATTGCCTTCTATATAGCTCTTCTGAGACTGAGACCACCTAACATTTGTCTGAGACTCAAATTAGTAAACAGAGTCAACTTTTCAATCTGCCATATTGCTGTAATTGCTTCTTGTTAATATAAATGACATTGATGTCCCCGTCTGCCAGATTTTATTTTTTGAAAGTTTTCAACCCATGGTAAAAAAGCCACTATGTTCATTTCCTTTCCTCCAGCTGGATCTACAGCTTTCTATCTGGTTATCTTGAGAAGCCCATTCACACCAAATTGGATAAAAATGTAAGTTTGCAAAGATGGCTTCAGATAGGGAAGGGAGGAGTTAAAACACACGCCTAACATTACTGACTTGTCTCTCTCTTCATACAGCTATGCCTAAATATCAAATACAAAATCCAAATGATGGATGCACAGCTTAGAAAGCATAAGGGTGAGTTGCTGATAACAGCTTTTTGTTAAGTAATTTTCATAGTGCTCAAATTGTATCCTTTTTTATTAGAATCTAAACTATTTCTGTGTTCGTGGTACCAAAAAAAGTGAAGGAAGAAAAATACAGCCATTTTTCTGTACCTTAACCTATTCCATGTTCCACCCTAGAAATCTCTTGCATGCACTTTATATAAAATATTCAGATTTCTTCTGTGCCCACAGCAAGTCACCTGTAATCTTTCAATCTGTTGTAGCTGACCTGTGTTATTTCCTTAGATTTCCAAGATGAGCATTTTCATGTTGATCCTTTGTGCTCTTGGTACTGTGAACAAAAGACTCGTATTCAGTGAGGTAACAAGATGCTGTAGGAAGACACTGTCACACTGAGCATGTTTCTTTTCCCATCAGTAACAATTCCTGTGTCACTCTTGCAGAGACATGAATACAATCTGTGTTCAAAAAGCATATAAATATAAGATTTTCAGTACTATAATCAATGCCACAGGTTTTCTTTTGTTGTTGCTGTCAGTTTTTTTACCCTAAGATTAAGAATATTTGTTGTTTTTCTCAATTCAAATTAATTTGATTCCTGTAACTAATATAACTCAGGTCATAGAGTTTGTTCTCAAACAAACACTCTTTACTTTTCATTGTGGATATTTCTATTATCTGCTCTGCTATTCAGAAGCAGAGTAAGTAGACATTTATTTTTCCTAAAATGACCTATAACTGCCATGTGCCAAGCAGTGCCAAGTATTACTGAAAATCATAGTCATCAAGAACATTTTCTTATGCAGCACATAATTAAATACTTCAGGTTCAAGGGCACTCCAAGCTGTGCTGTCATATTGAGGAGTTCATAATCTCAGTGTGAATTCACCATTCTTTAAACCCACCTCATTTTTATGCAGTATGAACAGACCTTACAGTCCAATCAAAAATAACAATCAGACTGAAGCTGCATCTGAGCGCCTTTCAGAAAAATTCTTCAATCATATTGACAATAAAGTGCTCTCTACTGCTGTGAAAAAACATCCAGTTTCTTCAACTCTGATTGGCAGAAAAATGTGCTAATGTCATCTTCCAAAGTATTTAGTAGTATTTACCAGTACTTCACTTATCATAAAGGAGAGTTTAGTTCTCTTGTGCAAATACGTAACAAAAAAGGAGACTCTGCCCTAGATTTTTCACTGCACAGGAGAGACTTCTGCAAAGTGTATTCAGTTGTGAATAGCAGGGGAACAGGCCTAACTCAGGAGATATCAGTGACTTTTCCAAAGGGAATAGTCTTACTAATTCCCAAATAACAATTTCTTTTTTAATTGTCTTCTTTCTTCTCCCACCATTATTCTTCTTCAGATTCATAATTTCTATAATGTCTTTGTCTTTAACTAAGCAATAACTGTTTGTGATGTGTTTTTGTAATAATGTCTGTTTTGGTTTTGTCCATCATTCTTCTAGTCTTAAGCCAGATTGACACCTTTGCACAAGTAGACTATTCCCTACTTAGTTCTCCAGCAGTCTTCAAATCACACATTAACTTGGATTTGAAGGTAATTTGTCTTTCATATCAGTGTGCTTTCTAACACTTTTCTGATTCTCTTTTGAGTTGATTCATTTTATTTCACTCCAGTCTTACTGAACCTCTCCAGTGTTTACTTAGAAAAGCAATAAGACATTTGGGAATTTTGGTCAAGAGTTATTTTGGAAACCGAATGCAATTGTTTATTTAATAAATTAAATTCATTTGTGTAATTAACCAAAGCTATTATTTAGAATTAAATTAATTCAGAGTTGAAACCCTTCAGAGGGGCTTTACAAACAGCATAAAAGTGTTCTTTAGATATACAGCTCTTGCACTGCTGCTTGGTCTTCCGCCTGTTAGCAGTGATAGATGATCTGTGATGGCTACCAGTGTGATTGCAGTCCAAAGCATTTGTTTTGAGATGACTCAGCATCTTGTATAAGTACAGGTCACACCCAAAAAGAAGACTCCTCACAGACAGTCTTTGAGCAGCACATAGCAGTTCCTGTCTTATCTAGTTTTCACCTTTGTTGGCAAGAGATATCTCAGCAACACCCAGCTTTTCTAGAAGTTTCAACAGCCCTTGTCATTCAGAGCATCCCAATCACTCTCAGAACTGACTTCAGTTAAGAAAGATTTGCCAGAGATGTGGTTGAAACTCCCTCTTGGTTATTTTGTTCAAGCAACTTTCACGACCCATAAAAAACTCTTTTCAAGCAGGATATACATAGCTTAAAAGAACTAAGCAATTTTAGTTATCAGCTCCTGTAGCTATCTAGAATTTACAGGCTAAGCTTTAACATGTGGACATCCCACTGGGACACCTGATTACTCATTTTGTCAGTCAAGGAAGTTATTGGTCTTGGTGCTCCTTGGAACAGGCTGATTGTCATCTTCTAACTTTCAGCTTTTTTTCTTAGGGTTTTATACCTTCCCTTGTCAGTGTTTTTTCTGTTGAATCTTCCAGCTACTAACCTTCACAGTTTCAGTAATTACATGACTTGCTATCTGTATTACTTTCCTTACATGGCCTGAACTCACCTACCTCTCAGTTTTAATAATTATTTTCTTAGCATACCTGAATCAAGGTCCCCTACCTGTGCAGCACCAAAATTAGGTCTTAGAAGACTAGCAGCTGGGCCAGGGCTAAGAGTTAGGTGATATAAAAGGCTCCTTTGTGTGTCCCTGTCCTAAGCAACTTCCAGTGCTTTTTGGGTGTGCCCGAAGATTTTCTTGAAATGTCACCCTTAAGATTAAATTAACAAATGTGTCTTTGCTACAAGAGAAAGAAAATTGTGGTCTAGAGAATTATTTTTTGCATGTGTGTCTTGTAACTGCTGTTCAGAATACTCACTTGAATGCTCAAATTCAAACTTTGAAAGTACAGCACCCAGATTTTCTTTGATTCCTGTAATTGTTTAGAAGAGCCTGAATTTGCTTATTTTCAGGGCATAACACAAACTTATTTGCTTATTTCATGGTTTCTTTAATGTCCAGCTTTTCTTCAGATTAGGAAGAATTCTTCCTGTTCAACCACTGCTAACGCATTCTCACAGATACAAATGTTTCAACTAAAAATATTTGATAATGATTTTTTTGCAGGGCACAGTCTATCCAGTAGGTAATCACACAGACCCTCCCTTTATGCCAGCTCCATTTGCTCTCCCAAACCAGGGTGATTCCATGATATACCTGGGAGTCTCCAATTATTTTCTAAAGTCTGCTTCACTGGCTTACTACAGAGCAGGGGCCTTTAACATCACCATCTCCGAAGAGGTGAGTATAATTTGCATGTAATGGAATCACAAATATCAGCAGTATGGATAGTCAGGTCAGCAAAGGAGACTAACACATTATCTTTGCCATTTCACACAGATTCAGGTCACACTTCTACCATTTGTAGGAAGGATTCATGACAATCATTCTGTATGTCATAATTTAAAATAGTTCAAGCCCCCTCAGACCTAAGTCTGAACTTCTTGGCAGCTCTAGGCAAGGAGTGACAGATATGAACATCACAGAGTTGGTGTGCCAGGAGCAGCAGAAAGAAACAAAAAAAAAGCTTTTCTCTGCATGGACTGCACATAGGAAAGGATGAGACAAGAAAAAGTGTACTGAAACCACAGTCTGCTGCACAGAGGCCCACAGCAGATATATTGGCTATGTTGAGAGCTAGAATAAATCCTTAGACTTAAAGGAGCAGCAGGATGAAGCAAGAACATACAAGGAAACTAAGCTTTCAGCTGTGGTTGAAGAACATACAAGACCTCTCAGAAATGCTAGTTTCCACACTGGCATTTGTAGTCAGAGTTTCCAATAAGTTTTGCTAACTGAAACAATGCTAAGAGGGTCTTTATGGATGCTGGTGACATGAATGGCACTAACAAACATCATCACAGTGGCTAGCAGCAAAAGAGCAGATGAGATTTTTGAGTCCTTGCCTCTGACATACTCAGTATATTTCATCTGAGAAAGTTTCAAAGGCAGGATGTCATGTCTGTTCTTTCAAAGAATAATGCTTGTTCACTGGTTTGTTCGTTCACTGGTGCGTGCTTCTGAATCAAGTCCATGAGAAATCTATCTCTCTTTTGTCCCACAGGGCACCGAGGGTTTCTTAGGAATCACTCTCGGGCAAGGAAATACTAAATCAAAACATGGATTATCTAAAACTAAAATAAACAGGATCTATTGTTGGGGATTTTTTTTCCAAGGAAAACATAATTTTCAGGCTGGTATAATGATGATCTAATTTATTTTATTTGTTTACAGCTTGCTACTACTTTTAGCTTAAATACCTCCCTACTCAAATATTTTGTCTCTGAGGTGAGTACTGTTACTTGTACAGATCTTTTAAGAAAAATCAGTATCTAATGCTCTTTATGGATATTATCTGTGTGTTCTCATTTGAAGAAGTTTGGAGGAGACAAGGAAACTGGTTTATGATTAGTGCAAGATTCGAACATACACATCTACCCCATGATAATTCTTCCTAACTATATCATACTACACTTTAGTTATTCTCTACCCCTCTAAGTTCTGGATTTGCTCTCAGTCTTTGAAATAGTTATAAAGAATAAGTGGTAGCCATCTGTGAGATCAGTCTCTTTTTATTCCTATTCAAGGTAATGGTATCTCTGCTATTGGTAGCCTGACTTCTCTTTGCAAAGATTCCTGATTTTTGACTACTGGAGTTTATATACAGTGGGAAATAATAGTCATGAGTCTATACATGTGATGTAAGAAATTAAGATACTGTGAGTTGCTGTAAAAATATAGCAACACTTACTATAAGATGATGAAATTCAGAATCTGTGGAATTGCAAACTGAAGTTTTGTCCTTTAGGAGTTTCTCTACTTTTCAAAAGATTGGCTCTTTTGCAGGCTGTCACTTTTCCAATACTTTATATTGTCAAAGTGATTATATTTTTTTTACTGGAATCACTCATTTCCCTAATTTCTTTAACATGCTTATCTCCTCCTCTTGAAATACATTTTTCAGGAACAACCTCTAAATTGCTTCATTATAGATGTTTAATATCAGTGGGTTTAAAACTTCACCATTCGTTTTATCATTTCTGAAACTCAAAGTGTATGCAATGCAGAATTTGTCATTTCAGTTGGTGTATTTAAAATGAAGTATATTTAATATTGATTAATTACAAGAGAATTGGTATACAACACCTGATTATGATGCAGCTACAGAAACTGTAGCTTAAGAAAAGCTTAACTCTGCACTCTAAGTTTTTTTCCTCCTTGAACCTGCACAGACGTCTCTGAGTCAGGCAGCAGCATGCCCAGTGCTGCTGAATCTGATGGCCACTTTACCTCCTGCAGTCAGTTTAAACGCAGACAGATGTGTCCTACAGATCACTGGTTCTGTAGAAGTGTTTGCTGCTCTGCCAAATTCAACCACCCAGTACATCTTTACAGGGAATCTGGTAAGTAAAATGAGCTAGAAGATAATATTCGGTGCTGGGGCTGAACAAATCACATAGTAATCTTCAAGGTCCTTTGAAAATCATAGAGATCAGCATAAAATAGCATATACTGGTCTGCCACAAATATGCATAGTGTTCTGTTGCATTTCAGAGGGAGCAAACATGCACCACATACTGTAGAATTTAATGGATTTAATAGGCAGGTGCAGAGAGCTACTTAGGAAAGCCCTTTTTTCCGTATAGGAGGTTGAGTGATTATTCAAGAATAAATTGTAATATATAAAAATGTTATTGTCTGATGCCCAGTCTTCCTAACATCTTTGTTATAAAGTCGTTTCAGACATCTTTTCATGAGGTTGCAAGTGAACCAATTAGGTCAGCCATGAAAGGACTTAAATGATCCTAACGATAAGGAGGCAATCAGAGCAGTGTTATCATTTTGCTCACAGAATCTCAGTTGCTGGCAGAAATCGGCAAATTCACAAATGCTTTCACTATCTATATGTATTGACCACATAAAAAGTTTAGACATTGTGTTTCCAATCAAAAAAGTAATTACATTTGTGCCTGTATCTAAGACAGTATCTATCTGTGTATACAGTCACACAAGACTGTTTTGTTTTTTTCCCTGCAGACAGCCAGTACCACAGCCAATTTGACAATAACCAAACAGAAGTTGATTATCTCATTACTTCTGAAGAGGTAACCAAGAAAAATTCAGAAAGCAACATCAATGATCCCAACATTAGGACACAACAGAACTTATTGTGTCAGCCTGACAGTGGTTGTTTCACCATGGCAAAAAGAAAATTAGTTATCTTCTTTCTCACAGGAACTCTTAAGATACTTTCAACTGGTTGGTTTAAATCTTTCAGATGAAATATAACAATACTGTGGAACAACCATGTCTCCTGTGATACTTCCCCTTTCTGTAGGTTAAATACCTTTCCAGATGACAACATTCAATTTATTGGTTATCTTAAAGGCATCTATTTCAGCCCACATCAGTGCTTCTTCTTGTTAGCTCTATACTCCAAGTTGGGCCAGAATTCCAGAATATATGATATTTTTTAATCTATTACAATTTTATTAAAGAAAAATATAAGCAGCCTTTTCTTAGGTTTTTGTCACTGGACCTTTTTAATGGGAAAAGAGGATTTAAAATTATCAGAGCCTGTCAGTGCAAGTTTAAGAAGTAATGGTGTCACTCACTTAGAGCTTTTGACACAAGAATGTGTTCTTCTGTTCTTCAAAATTTTGTTTTTTCTCTGGGATTATGTTTACAATGATCTGAGGATGCATTACAGGCATCAGCGGAAAAAGTTAGGAAAGGATATGAGTTAATTCAAATCACAATGCATATTTGAGGAATGTGTAGTTCAGCCATTGGAGAAATAGCAATTCCAGGAAAAATTGATTTCCCAAGTCTTACAGTTACAACCCAGAACTACACATGACTGTAGGAGATTAGTACCAGAAAGAACCCAGTGATTCTATAACTCATTTGTAGTTGCGCCAGTTTTAGTTAAAAGCTGTTGGGAATTAAAGAGTCTTTGGCAAAGTTAAATGTGTGAATCAGCGTGAAATCAGTATGAATTTCCACAAAAGAATCTTCAAGCGGCGTGCATAAGTTGTACCTTCATCTTTTATAGTGAATTCTCTTCTTTTACTACTTCTCTTCAGGTTCCAGTTCTCCCTACTGCACTCCAATCTTGGCTTCCCTGAGGTAAGCTGATGGTTTCAGTGCCTGGAATAAGTAGCTGACCCCTTCAGAGATAAAAGAAATAGTTCTGAACTTGCTGCTGAACAATTATTGGTCTGTCTTGGGGACATCATCTGCCACTGCTCTTTCTGCTTTGAAATAGTATATGCTATGCTTTTCTTTTTCTTTCTAGTAAGAGGAAGTACCTCTTAGAGTGTTGTGTTGTTTTGGTTTTTTCATCAGAGGCTCAAATTGTTATGGAGTCTGCCTGGGTTCAGGCACAAGTCACAGCTGGACTGAGTATGTGTAGCAATTGAAGTGAATACAAAGTCAGGCGCTTAAGCTCCATATCGTAAATTATCTTAAATTACTTCAACCAAATAACATAAAAACAGGATTTAAAAAAAAAAGGGAATAAAAGAAACAGGATGCCACTACTTGGATCCTTCACTGTAGACTGAGAAATTATCAGAGAGACTCTGCAGCAGCTCAGCCCAACCAATACCTTTAAGTGAAGGGAGGAAGAGACTAATCACAGTGGTGTAAGACAGAGCTTCAGGACAGGGCAGTTCTTGCCACCCAGAGAACAGTTCACATATGACAACTGAGTCTGCCAGCTGAAATGAGGTTGAACATATTTAATTCCTAAAGTTAAGGTTCAATCCAGGTATTTAACATACAGAAAAAAAGCCCCACCTTCAGTTTAACTCATTGTGAGAAAATGGACACCTCTTTGCAACTTAAACCAAAATATATCCTTTTTTTTGCCTGAGATTTTCTCTGCCAAGCTCTGTTCTGATCTTTTTGCGTGTCACTTCAGTTCTAACACTCATATTCCTTGTGAAGCTGCAAACCCATAGGCATCAGGCAATAATCACCAAATGTGCTTTTCCCCATACAGCAGAAGTCAGTGGTGGAGAATTTTCTGTCATATGCTTTACGGAGAGTAGTAATCCCAGTAATCAATGGTAAGGATTGTGGCCAGTTCTGAGCACAGCTGGGGGGAAAGAAAGACTGAAACCATAAAAGGGAGTGCCCAGCCTTAAAGACTCTGTTGTGTGAGGTTTTCTGTTCATTTGGTGACACCAGGACAGGTTTACTCTGTGCTGGACTTTGATCCTGGTCATTCAGCTATGTAGATCAGGGGCTGGGACAGAGCAAGTCTTGGCTCCCTTTCAAACACTGGGCTTGGGTTTCATTTTCACTGAATGCAGTGTGGCAGCAGAGCTGAGACATGTTTGAGTCTCATCCTGACAGAGAGTCAAGCTATGAGCAGAGAATGGCCCAAGCTGAGGAAGTGCAGAAGCACATTTGCACCTTTGGGCCTTGGGTTAACGTCTCTTACTTTATCACCTCTCTGCCTTTGTGCTTCACCTGCTGCCACAGGCCAGACAAAATAGAAATCAGTTCAGTAGGATACAGGTAATGAGGGATGATGAAGAAAGGGATGATGGTGGAAAGAAGCAGGTGGAAGAGTACAGAAGGTGCCTCTCACATGAACAGAGCTGAGGAGACTGCTGTCAAAAAAAGTGAGCTACCAATGAGGAGAAAGAAAAGAGAATGAAAGGGCAGGATGCATGTTAGATGTTTGGAAAAGCAAATAGGAATAGACCTGAGGCTTGACCCAGGAAAGTAGGGATAGATGAGAATAAGAAGAGCCAAAAGGATGAGAGGATTGAGTAAAGAAGAAATTGAAAGGAAGATGGAGAGTAACGCAGAGTGGGAAACAGCAGAAACCAGATCTTGAGGGGCAGATAACTGGAGAGGAACAAAGGCAGTGTCAGAGAGATAAGAGATTGTAAGAGGTTTAGATGCAACTTTTTCACAGGGTTTTTTGCTCCCTTGAGAGGCTCAAGGATAGCTAATTGAAGGGAAATTGCAAACACATTGAGTTCCTTGAGAAAGATGCTTCTGAAGTGCATTTTATTATTACATTCAAATGTATTTATATTTGTCCTTTCCAAAGATAAACTAGAAAAAGGATTTCCTCTTCTTAACTTGGCCCACACTAGCTTGACTGGACCTGCAATAAAAATGAAACAGGTGAGAAGCCAAATTTCTTTTATAGAATATTGCTTGTTTCAGGCCTGCATATTTGTGTGTTTTCCTGTGTTTGGTAAATCTAAATGTTGTTATTAGTAAAGCTTTCATTATGCATTAGATATAACACACAAACTCTGGATCCAAAATGAGCCCCCACCCCAGCAGTTATAGATTGCAAAGGGTCCACTAGCCCTTTGGGGTGTGCCAGCATGGGGACATGACAAGGACAATGCTGCTATCCCCTTAGGAGCATTGAGTGTGTGAGTCCTTGCTCCTCTGACCTTTCTCTAGGAAGGCTCATAGGCAACCTGAGTGTCTCTGGTAAGTGTTACTCAGCCTTCTGGAGTGTTAACCTACATCAAAGCCCATTCCTACCTTATAGTTAACTAAAGTTCGGGAGGCACAAAGCCACTCCTGTCTCCTGCCCTGCTGAGGGGCTTACCACGGGATCTAATCCCAGAGTAGTGTCCCTGAATATATGTCTGAAATTTAAAGTAATTTTACGTGTTTTTCTTTCCTCAGGGTCATCTGGTTATTTCCACTGATGTTCACTACCAACCAGAGGACAGGGAAGATGAGGACCTCCACAGCCACTCCTGATGTCTTTTTACGTCTAAAGAATAATAAGATAAAAGTGTAGTTTTCCTTCTGTTAGCTTGTAGGGAGTAGATGCTATAACATTAGAAGCATGACTTTTCATCACTATTTTTAGTGTTTTAGTAAAACTTTTTAAGCACTTTTCACAAAGTGAATGTGTTGGTTTTTAGTACAGTGAGTGTAGCTAACTGTTATTGATGCTTTGGAAAACTTGTTGCAGCCTGATCTGAAGCAGCAACTGGTTCTTTTCAGTAGAGTTATAGACACCACATTTTCTTAATTTTAGGAACAAGTTCTTGCATTATTCAATTTATCTCCATTAGCATTAGCAAAATTTTGTGTATGGAGTGAGATCTTATTCTTTGTAAGCGTTTCACAATTTGTCCCTTTGTAACTGCATACCAAGAGTGGGAAGAAATTTATAAAATCCAGTTAATTGCCATATAGTTATAGAATCATATAATCTAGTCCAGACACTGGCTCAGAACAGGACTAATTATATGAGGTTATTGAGGACTGTGTCCAGTCAACTCTTGAATGCCTTCAAGGATGGAGATTCCACAGTCTCTCTATGCAATCTGTTCCACTGTTTAACTCCCTTCAGAATAATTTTTTTTCCTAATATCAAATCAGCATTTCCCATGTTCCAGCTTGTTCTGTGGCCTTTTGTACTTTCACCATACACTTCCAAGATGAGACTGATTCCATTTTCTCTGTAGTCTCTGATCAAAACATTGCAGGCAACAAAATGGCCTTTCAAGCCCTCTCTTCTCCAAGCTGAACAGGCCTAATCTCTCAGACTCTCCTTGTAGTTCATGTTCTCAAGCCTCCTTGAGAACCTGCACCTGCTGGTGCAGTCCAGAGGCCAAGCCTTGCTAGTAAAAGCAGCCTTTTCCTTTGTCACTAGTCCCCCGTCTTACTGAGCAATAAGCCCATCTTCTTCTGCTATAAATGTACTTAGGGAAACCTTTCCTGTTGCACTTTGGCTTTCCTGACTTTATTCCTATATGTGCAAACAAGATCTTTGTGTTCCTTCCAAGTATCTGATCTCGATTTCCATCTTCTGTATGCTTCCTTTTTGTGTTTGAGCTCACTCAGGAGCTCCAAGTTCATCCATTATGGCTTTCTGCCACAATTGCTCAACTGTCTGAACATTGTAATGGACTATTCGTATGCTCTGAGGCGGCTGCCCTTGAAGATTAGCCAGCTCTTCTGGGCCTCTGCTCTCCAGGGCAATTTCCCACAGATATTGCCAAGCAGGTCCCTGTAATCTTCTCATCTGAAGTCTATGGTTGTAATTCTGTTCTTTGTCTTGCTGCTCCTCTCAGGATCTTAAAATCCACAGTTTCATGCTCCAAGCTGCAGCCAAGGCTGTCCTTGGCTTCTATATCATCCAGCAGTTGCTCCTTGTTTGTGAGTCGCTGTACCTCTTTGAGGGTATCAATCTCCAAATAATTCTATACTTCTAATATTTATAAAATGGAGATGGTAGCTTTATTTTGTCTTATGTCAGTGTCATCAGAGACACTCAACCAGGAGATATTAAGTGTGTGAAAAGAAAAACTAGTCTGCAAATGTCTCACCATAGAAAGTTCAGTTCCAGCTTGGGACAGAAATGTGGCTTCCACAGTTTTAGCTGAATCAGTTTATTTATCTAGCTGGCTGATACAGTTTTTTAATATAAAAAAGCATCCTGAAACCAAACAGCAGTAAATCACAGCATCTGATTCATTGTATTCTGTAGTAGACTCAAAAGAAATGAAGATTTTTAATTAGTTTGGTGTCCTTCACTGATATCAGGAAATTTGTTCTGCCTATTTGGAGGACAATTCATGAGATACAGGGGAAAAAGAAAACTGAAGCTCTGGTGTCTATCTGTTTTCTCTTCCAAAGGGACACACGCTTCAGGACTGACCAAGTACCATGGCTCAATGGACCTTTTCAGGCTAGAGTCATGGCTTAGCACAACACTGTCTCTTAAGCTCTAGTCCTCTGGCTGTTCACAAAGTGATGTAGTAATTTCTCTGAGGACTAAAGAGGATGTCACATAAACCAACAGTTCCCCCTGAATCACCCTATACTTACCTACAGGTCATTATACCATTTTTGATCTGGTGGTGTCTCCTGATTGATAGAACCATGGAAATTATTCATGTTCATCAATTTGCTGCAGAATAGAGAGCATGGAGAAAAGGGAGAATTGGAGAGCACGGAAAAGGGACCACTGGAGCACTGAGCCAGAGGCAGGGGCAGGAAGCATGCAAAACCAGTGTTCTGCAGAGATATACAACAAGTTTGTAGTATTGCCATACTGATAACTTCATTTGGTTTCTTGTGTATTGGGTAAAAAGGGTTGAAACCTATATCCTCTTTATCATACACATCAAAGAAAATTCAGAGAAAGCTGAAATAAAACACTCCTCTTAGAGGCTCTTTGTAACACCTTGAAGGGTGAAAAGTTTGGATGTAGAAGCTATTTATAGTGTATTTGAATTTGAATGTGTATCTGAATGTGCCTGTAAGTAGACAGTTGCCTTTTATTCCTATACTTGTAGAAAGAAATGATGGAACTGTTCTGGAAGCCTTAGTGTGTTTTTGTTAACTTTTGCTAAAAGTCTTATCTAAACTGGGTGGTACTCTATTAGAAGAATCATAACATGTTAGAAGGATATGATGAGGATAAGCTGACATAGTTTTCAGACAATTCAGTTGTTTGTACATCTTAGAGATCTGTGGATGGAAAAGATGGAACTTTCCCTTGCTTTATAGGAACTGCAGAACTTGTGCCAAAAGAACTTATAGAGGTTTATGTAACTGATGGTGCGAATGATATTCATCATCAGTTGCCAGAGATATAAATAATGAAATTATTATGCATGTGACTCCCTGCAGTGAATGTTAAATCTGTGTAAATGTGAGTATCTGTTGACTGACTGACAAGTGCCTCTACCTTTTCTATTCATGGATTGCACAATGAAGTGACTCAGATTGTCCAGCAAAGTGCTCCGTGCCAGAGGGAATTTGCTTGGTACATGCAAGCTAATTGATTAAATCACCTCCTTGACAAGCCAAGGAGTGCTGGTTAGCTGAAGTACCAGTTAACTGGATAAGTAAGGACAAGAAATAGAAAATATTGACTACAAGGACTTGATACTATATATTTGCACCATAAATACACACTATAGTGTCTGTGTGTATATACATATGCTATAACATAAATCTTATATGGTTTGTGGTTTTCTGTATCCTGAGCAATTTCAGACAGATGGGCCTTGTTTTCCATCTGTTCTTCACAATGATTGCACATTAATTTATTTCTTTCAAAATACAGACCTGGCTATGAGTGTCTGTCCTTTGGAATTACTGGAATTTGAGTGCCTGTCCTTTGGAATTAGTGGAATTCTTACTGGGGTTTCCTCTCGGGTCCATCTGAAAAGCCAGTGCGGAAACAGTCTGCCACAAAGGCAGTATGCCATCCCAGACTCAGCACCCCAATGCCTGAGCACCTCCATCCAACAGTTCACATTGCCCCCTGCTTATCCCTAAATGAAATTTGATAGATTTAACCTGGGACTATCCCAAAATAGTTTGGGATGTGATTATCAGAGGCCACTCCCTGTGTGATACTGCTGAAGATGGTAGCAATTGGCTGTCTTAAAGCTCTCAACTCTTTCCTTTAAAAGAAGGGGTTGTGGTGGCAGATGATTCTCCCTGCATTGTCCTCAGTCCTGTGGTCTGGTACAGTAAGAGTCTTCTCTTCAGTCTTCAGAGGAGAGGTATGAAAATAAATATGTTGTGATTACTCTTTGTTGAGGAGGGGCTTTGTTGGGCAGAGATAGATGTAGCTAAATCTGGTTAAATGTTGAGATTTTATGATTTGAGAACTATGCCTATGTTAAATACACATTTCCTTCCAGTACTTTGTTTTTGTTCTATACATGGACTGTGTTCCTTTCACCTTTGGATTCCACACATGAAGTGTGTTTCTTTCATCTCTCAATAAAAGTCAGTTAAAATTAAAAAGGAAATACTATCATACTAAAAGGCAAAGGTGTTCTGTGGGGTTGCTTGAACTCTTATAAAAATTTAAGTCAATGTTATAATTTTGCAGTTTGCTTAAATTGTTATCATAACTGAAAATATTTTAGAGTTTTGAGGTGTATTATTACTTCTGGTAATGAAACAGCAAATAAGCAAAACCAAACATCTGTTGGACCACGGCGTTTGCACAGAGAGTTTCTGGATAAAACTTAACGTATTTATTAACATGTGGTCTAGGGAATATGAAAACATTGTCTGCTGGCACCAAATCATTTTCTTTTGTTGACTGTCAGGAGGGAACATAAGGCACTTCTCAAAATTGTGACTAAGATCTTAATAAGTAGCTCCAAAAGTGGGGGTATCTGTGCCTGTAATTAAGTGAGCTGATCAGGTTTTCCAAAGTGCTAAGATGCAGTGATGTCTGCTGAATCACCAAGAGGCACTGAGAGCATTACATATTTTGTGAAAAAATAGGCTACTTATTTCACTAGCGAGAGGTGGGAGGGGAAATGACAGCCTAAAAATTCAATGTCACATTGCTTTCGACAGGGTTTGTCTGGATGGATGTATCCCAAGTGCTTTCCCCAGTCTCTGTGGCAGGGAATAGGCTGACTTTTCTCCTCTACCCCATGAACTGTATTTTTGTAACAGTCTGTGCAGAATGAGTGCTCTCTTCCATGGTTGCTGAGCCTTCCACTTTCTTCACTCTAGAGGGAAAGCTGGTGTCTAGGGTGGAGGGGAAAGGAGTACAACCACCAAGTGACATAGCATGAACTTTGCTATCATTATAAATATTTATTAACAGGTCCTGTAAAAAATGAGGAAGATGCTGAAGATTTGCTGTTCTCTCCTTCTCTTAAGTTTGCTCAGTGGGCAATTCAATGCCAACCCTGGACTCAAAGTGAGGATCACCCAGAAGGGCTTGGAGTATGGTACGTGTGATGTTTTCAGGAGCTGCTGGTGGTATTGCACTGAATCCTGATATGAGAGACATAGGACAGTGAGGGCAGTGAGAGGAAATGACCTGATCACAGGCTATAAAGGAAAATTTAGGAGTCTGTAAGCTGCTTAACAACATTGGACATCATACTGAGCTTCATCTGACTTCAGATATTGAATCAGTTCAGCTCCTGCCATGACTAGGAGTGAGATCAGAAATAACACTACTGGGTCTCACATGAGATATCTTCTTCCTCCTGACTCTGTGCCCATCCCATCTCCTGAGCCAGAAACACATAACTATAAACTCCCAGGCAGTATCAAAGGCAACTGAACTGATCGTTGTTTTCCTGTAGCCAAGGAGGTTGGGTTTGAAATCCTGAAGCAGAATATGGAAAAGGAGCGTTTCCCTGATTTGACTGGCCATGAGAAATTTGGGCTTGGTAATGTCAAATACAACATCTCTGGGTAAGTATTCTCTCCAGGGGCAATTTATGTTTGACTGAAATTTGAATCTTATTGTGTGTTCATTCTGACTCATGAAATAAAAACTTTTCTTTTTCTTATCTCTTCCTTATCTGTCTCACGCTCTAGAATACATGTCACTGCTGTTGAATTACCCAGTGCTTCCATCTCCCTCCTACCTGGGTCTGGGATAAAACTGGTGATAGGAAATGCTTCTCTAACCATCGACATGAACTGGAACATAAGGACCTGGATGTTGTACGTACAGCTAAATGTGTCCTGGGATTTTTCCTTCATATAAAGATAAAAATGCAAAGTTTAGTTTTTCTTGTGACCTCTTCATGGCAAAGGTACTCTTTATCAGCTGGCAGCAGTAACCCAGAAGCACAGACTGATTCTTCTCAACAGGTCTGCTGGTGGGAGACAGCCCCCTCAGACACGAGCACTGATAAAGAGCCTGTGGCTGAGAAGTACTGCTGTGAATAATATAGGTCTGCTACTCTGGATGAACGCTGTCATTATCCAGCCTGCCAGCTAATGACACATTTAGAAAAAACTGTAGTGTGGTGGGTCACAGTCCAGTATAATAAAACCTCCCTGTGCAGTTACACTGTTAGAAACCTTCTGTTATGCCTCCAGGATATATAGTTCAAAAGCTGATGGAAAATGGATGAGCAAATGGCAATATCCTTAGAGCCATGTCCACACCTTCCCAGTCCCATGCTGTTTCAGAGGAAATAAATCCCTCTTCCCTTCTCCACAACTCACATTACCTATATTGCTAAACTGAGTGAATTACAGAACTGATATGCACTTCTGCTCACAGGGACAGTAGGGTTGGCTGCTTTAAAGGGGAGGGGACCCGGGTGCTGAGGGTGATGGCACAGTAGGAGGGACATTGCCCTCACTGGCAAGTGCCCAAGGTAGGCAAAGCAGAGCAAGTTAATGGCAGTGACCATGAACAGCCACTGGTCCAGACTGCCAGGCAAGTCCATAATGAAGAGGTGGGGTTTTTTTCAGTATTTTATTTATTTTTACTTTATGCAGCAAAGATAGTGGAAGAAGCACAGTGCACATTTCAAAGGTGTTTGTCACTGCAATCTTTTCAACTCCTCGGGATAATACAAGTCCTACGTTAATATCCCTTACCAGCTGCCGGACAACTTCTGGTGACATAGATATCAAGCTGAATGGAAAAAGCGGGTAAGTGGAAGAGATCTGTATAAACTCTGGGAGAAAATAAGTGTCAATGAATAGCATACAGACAACTTCATGAAACAGGGCACCCAGAATTGCTTTTAGGTATCTATAGACACCACAGGCGAGAACTGGGGACCTAATACAGTGTTAAAATGGCCAACATTGATATTTATCCTTGTATTTGCGCACGATAGAAGATAAAGACAGAATCGAACAATCCCTTGTGCTTCTTCAGCACCCACTTCTTTCAAACTTCTGCCCTAATCTTCAGCTTTAAGTAGAAGTTACATGCTTGTACTGTGTTTCACTCCCCCAGTCACAGTGCTATCAAAATTGAACAGAACCAGACTGCTGTCTGTTAAGCCTCTGGATACATGCATCAATATTTCATTGTTTCCTTGTACTTCTCTCACTGCCTGAATACTGCTTTTGTCACCTGGGTTTGTTTTGTTTGTTTGTTTTTAATTGTATCAGTTCCTAGTGCAGACACTACTTATTTGTTCTGTGTTTGTACATATATGATGGTGGTACTATGAAGAATTGCTTTTTCATATAGATGAATTAACCCTGGCTAATTCCTGAGATGCTGAAGTTATCTCCTTTTAAATAGTGGCTCTCTGATAGTTTTTACATTTCAGAAAGCTCTCTTGTGTACTAGAATATCACACTCAGAGGACATTAAATTAGTGTTCTACAGAGATAGCTGATCTCCTGTTAATGACCATGGCACTTGACACATGAATTGCTTTCTTCCTTCCATCTAGCTTCCTGCATAACTTCTTTATCAAGTATCTGAAGAAACCTATTCACAGGAGCTTGGTCACTAATGTAAGCCATTCACATTGTGTAGGGGAGGGGTGTAAGGAGTGTGACATTCACGAGTGAACTTGGTAAAGTGGAGCTAGAAAAATAATCCTGTAATAAACCTATTCAGGTCTGATCAGCACAGGCAACATTTTGCCAGCCAGAAATGCTTCCAGATAAAGTTCATGGCCAAGATACTGACTAGTCCACAGCTAGTTCAACCAGGGCAGCAGTAGGGCCAGAAAATGTAGTTATTTTCCCATTCCAATGCAGAATAAGTCTCTGCCTGTGTACCTACAGGCATCATGGAATATGGGCAATTTTTGTACTTGGCAGACAAAACATATACTGGGTTATGCATAGAGAAATTATAGTACATCAACTGATAGTATGACATATTTAAACTTCATTGTATTAAAGAAGTGAGCAGTCCTGATGAGAACCTGACTAGGGCCACTGAGAGGAGACAGAGCTTGAGATGGCTGTGATTCTGTCCCAGGACAGAGATTTATGGTTGGACTCGATGATATTAAGGGTCTTTTCCAACATAAGTGAGTCCATGATTCTGAGATGTCTCCTGTGAGACCAATGTGAGATCTGTCTCCTTGTGCTATTAAAGGCTGTAGTTTTGTCACCCCCACCAGGCTGCTTCTGGCAACTTCCCTCTTCTTTGCAGCTCTGACATAGGATATGCTTACATTGCACCAAGCAGAAACCTTGGGGATCCAGTTAGCTGAAGAAAAGCCAGATTAGGTGTTTGGATAAACAAATGCTGCAATGTGTGTCATGTAGCAGAAAGATCTACTAGCACACAGGTAAGAGGTGCTTACATGTCCATGCTAATCAGGCCATAACTTGAGTGTGCTTTTATTACAGTCATGTCCCAATATCAGAGCTGGGATCCATTTGATAGATGAAGACCTCCGATCGCTGAATGGTGAGTCAGTAGTGATACCTTTTCCTTCTGCTTCTTCTCTGCTGATCAGTGAAATTCTGCAGCAATGCGTCCAGAAGTGATATCAGCCCCTCTGCTCCGTCTGCTCCCTTGCTTACAGAAACAGTAAGCAGGGCTACTTGGGCAAGAAATGTATATTTGTAAGAGCCAAGGACTTGGTAGCGATTCTCGACTCTGCAAATGCAGCAGTGTGCACTTCTGTTGTTAGAAATGCAACTTAGAGGCCACAGTGTACTGACACTACAGCAATTTTCCTTCCCTCCCATGCTCCAAGTCCTCCTGCACACACAGGAATTTAAAAGCTGAAGCCTGCTCTCCTAGCCTGCCTGAAAATTTAAGTTTTACTTGCCTGTATATCAGACTTGCCAAAGGCAAAAGGAAATTCTCCTTGGCAAAAAAGCTTCTCACTTGAACTATTCTGGATTAGATTTGCAGGCCTTTAAGACACCGAAGTGTTGATCAGATGCCGTGTGCAAAACACAAGTACCTAAGCAGATCGGGCACCCTGCTTTCTGGGAAAGTATTGCAAGTTGGAGACACTCTGGATGCTCTTAGAACTGCTTGACAAGAAATCCAAACGCCTCCTCATGCCCTGAATCACTGATGGCCATTTCCTCTTTTTTGTTAGACTAAACTTTTCCATAGTAAGAAAACAATAGACAAACTAAAGACAGTGCTTTACAGAAGGTTCCAGTAGAAACATCAAGCCTTAGTTCACAATGCAGGTTAGGAAGTCCCTGGTTATGTTTTTCCCTACTCTCTGGAGCAATGGGGTGTCATTCTCCTTCAGAAACTGACTTAGTTTTAAGTATACATAAAACTCTTTCTGTGTTTTTTGTAATATTCTGTATCTTGCCTTATCTACCACCCTTACAGTTGTAATGCCAATTGATGATTTGGCTGAAGTAGACTACTCCTTAAGTAGCTTGCCAGCAGTATTCCAACCATTCATTGACCTGGACTTAAAGGTAAGTAATTGCCTGTAATGCTGTTTGCCAAGATTGCTGTATGATCCACTTTCTAAGCTAACCATGATTGCTATTCTGAACACAGAGGCTCAGTATCTAAGACAGACATTTCAAAGCATTATTGCATTTGTTATTGTAATAATTTGTAACAATCTTGTTGTAAAATGAATTATTTAAAAGCCACATCCTTTTTTTTTAATTGCTGTTAAGTTAGTCATAGAAAATAGAGAGCAGTAAAAGTTGACTAAGTAAGTTAGAAGTAAAGAGAAAAGGAAAGGAAACAAAAAAATATTCAACATCATCTTTCTCTTGCTGTTGATTAATGTCTGGGACTTCTTTGTTCAGTCAGTCAGGGGAATATTTCTACACATTGCGCTAACTAGATGTGTCTGCTGTCAGATGAGAGAGGAAAAAAAAGAGCAAGACTATAGGACCAAGAAAAGACTATAGGACCAAGAATTCAGCCTCTGGCTTCCTGAATGGGAAGATTGAAGACCCTTGAAAAAACATGGGAGTCCAAGGAGTGCTGCTGAGTCTGAAGGCCTGGAAGTTTCTTTCAAATTAAGGAAAAAGTCTTCTTATGCACTGAAACTAAAATCTGACTAGTTCCTAATTTTAAAATTACTTCATTGTCATTCTATGTAAGGTGAATTGATTGAGGGTAGTCATCATCATCACTGTATCTAAGATCCTTAATTAGTTTAAGCTGCCTTGCACTAAGTGCTCTACAAAGGGAGAATGAAAAAACAGTCTCCTTACAAGGATCTTATAAATTAAGTATTAAAAAAAGTCAGCAGGTAAATAAGAGAGGTGGAAACACAAAGGAACAAAAAATTAGTATCTGTATGGTGGACACTGGTGTTGGCACACGAGCTCTGCAGCTGCTGTCAAATTCTTCCAAGTAATGCAGCAACTAGATTTTAAGCAGGAACTTGAGCAGACTAAAGATGTAATGTCATGGCTGTTTACAAGAGCTACTCTCCCACATAAGTTACATGCGGGAAATACATGAAGCAAGTGACTGGTAAATCCAGCAAGTGAGAATTGAAGGGGGAGGTCATTTGCTGTAATTCAGCATTTCATAAGCATTTTGATAGTCCTTAAAAGGCAACTGGAAATTTAGAGCTGAATGAGAAAGTAAAGACATACAGAATATATTTGAGATGAAACAGAGACAGGGAACTAATAAAAGGGATAAAAAAACCTTTAACCTCTAAGTGCCTTCATCACTTCAAATCAGTTTTTACCTTTTTGTTTACTCTGTGTGCATTTGGAAGCATTAGATCTGCAAGTCTTGGCTAGTATCATTGGTAATACAGAAGACGACATAGGCATTTTAGTTTTGTCTGACATAACTTTCCTTTCTCTCAAGTCTTCTTTTGTCTGCACAAGTTACCAACTTGCTTCTGGGTAGAGCATGGTGCTGATTTTGACCAAGAGAGACCTCTGGTTTTAGAAATCCATTTTGTAATTGAGACCATTGGATAGCTCTAAGCAGCAGTTCTCAGATTCAAATTCCTGTAGATGGGGGGAAAGGAGAAAGTAAGGCTTCTCAAAAATGAGGACCGCTAGTCATGCTCTTCATGCAATATATGGACCCTTAATTTAGAGGGGTTTTGTTCTGAGGTGGGAGGTTGTCTTCAGGAGGTGATCAGTATCTCAAAAGACAGATCTCGGGTGTCATCTGTGAAGGTGTCCCAATGCTGGAACTTGCCTTCACCACCTACTTGAAAGCACCAAGCCTTCAGGGTGTACTACAGAGCCTGTGCACTCATTTATACACCAAATGAACAGCCTGGGCAAAGTACAGGAAAGTAGCATTCATTGTCTGCAGTCATATTAAAGTTATATTTTGTCTCCTTTTTTTTACCTCTGACAATAACTTTCAGGGCACAGTCTTCCCAGCTGGAAACTATACTGGCTCTCCCTACGTGGTAGCTCCCTTCACTGTCACAGACCAAAGAGACTCCATGCTCTTCCTGGCCTTCTCTGAGTATTTTTTTCAGACCTCCTCATTTGCTTACTACACCGCAGGGGCCTTCAACATGACCATTGCAGAGGAGGTGAGTAGGACAGAGAGGAGCGGGGTCAGAGTGGCTCAGATAGAACTGTGACCTGCCAGATGTCAGTGTGCAGCCAGATAAAGCTGTTAATTGGTCTGCAGAGTCCTGAGACAGTAGATCATAAATACAAAGGTATTGTTATTCTCTTTTATTTATGCCTTATATAGAGGTCTCAGGCCACAACCAGGTGTGCCAAGTTCTGCTAAGCAAGCTACAAAACTTTGTTACAAAAAATAAGGTTTTTATAGACCTGAGGCCTAGACTTCTCTGACGTGGACAATGGATTGACTTTGGGGAATTTTGCAGCCTCAGTGGCCGTTTTTTGAGGGATCTTTGTAGAATAAAAGTATTACAGGGGCCATGGAAGGAAACCATATATCAAAGTACAGTAGCTGTGCATGGAGGCCGCCTGACTTGGCTTACCTGACTGCAGGAGGCTTAGTAAGTCCCAAAACCTATAGATTGTAGCCCATATTATAATGACATTAAGCATTTGCTTTCTCAGGAATTATTGTGGCACGTATTATTGGGAATCAGCTTTAAAGTATACTGAGTCTCTTAGGAATATTTCTGAGAGGTACAAAATTAAAGATTTATTGAAATGAGAGTAATAATGCATTTAGAGAAAAGCTGACCATGAAGGTCAAACTCATTTGTTTCCTCTCTTTTATTTTTTCTTCCAGACCTGCAGCTATTTTAATATAAGCACAGAGATATTTAGCAGTATCATCCCTGAGGTGAGTATCATTACTTCCACAAAGTCTTAGTAAACCACCCAGTGTGAGTGTCAAGACACCTCACTCCTGGTGTATCCCAAAGGCTGTTAGGGCCAGCAGGCCTCCTGCACTAGAGAAGCTGGCACATATATGCCTCATAACAGACGAGCAGATGGGCTTTGTCACTTCCCACCCCCATGATGAGTTGAATGACTTGCACTGTTACCAAACATAATCTTGGCCCATAACCTTGCACATCAGTCTTTACTCTGGGCACTGTGCCCAAGCCACAGCTGTTCCCACCTAAAACTGTCTCTATGCAGGGAAAACCTTTCAGTCATAAGTCCTGCTTTGAGAGAATTCTGAAAGGGCCTCAGCTGAGAAAGAACACCTTCCTCCTGTCCAAACCTGCATAATTGTCTTTGCTTCACTGCTTTGCTGTGACTGACTAGCAGAAAGACCATGTGCAGGAAATCCAGCTAACAGATGAGGAGGAAACATTACATCCTATGGAACAGACAAGGCAGATGCACAGGATTTCCATCTATTTTAGGTGGAGGAGATGAAGATAACATGACAGAGAATATGAGTATGCATGGCTTCCATCAGCCTTCTCAAACAAAATGAGAAACCAAAAACGAGCATAAGAACCCCTAGGCTAAGAATGCTGAGGTTGGATGAAATCAGACTAATGGTTCAAAGAACTTCACATTCTTGTTTGCTTCTCAGATGTTATTAAGTTCCTTCCTCAGAAATATAAAATTCTCCAAGGGCAGTCATCATATGGTCTTCATAAAATGCCATGAGCATTGATGCTAATATTCCACTCCTTCTGTTTTGATTCATGAACTTGGTGAGGCTATTCACTCTCCAGGCAATGGAGTGAGGATCCTAAGAGAACAGTCCAGAGGAGGAACCAGAGGAGGAATCTCTCTCGGGAGACGGGTGAATTTCAAAGTGAATGACTCCTTAGCTCTTTTATTGTGTGACTTTAAATGTCACATTTGTGGTCCATTTCTCTCTTCTGTTCACAAATCAATATTTAATTTCTCTCAAAGTGATATAGAAAAATTTGTATTCCTCAAGTGGAAGGAACTTTGCACTGCATTCCTATGTGGCCAAGATTGTTAATTTATCTCCGCAGAAAACCTGTATTTCCTGCTTGCCTGAACAAACCTTGTGTTAGCAGCTATCCTTAATCTCATCTTAAGGAACTACTTCAAAATGATTGCTTCAAGAATGAGACAATGCAGTATTCTGTTCTACAAGAAGTGTTTTTCTGTATTTTTTCTTTTTTTGTCCTGCAATCTTACAGGTCGCCAAATACTCAGTTACACCCTATCCAGTAATGTTGAAGCTAATGGCTACTGAAATACCTGTCATCAGCTTAGAGCAGGATTCCTTCACAGTAGAAATTCAGGGCTCCATGGAGGTGTTGGCTGTTCTGCCAGACTCAACCACCCAGTCGCTGTTCACAATGAACGTAGTAAGTACAAAGAACAAGGTGACATTTAACTCAGGGTTAAATATGTTTGTTCCTTCCTTCTGTTAAAACTTGCCAAATTTCTAGTACTTAAACATGCAAATTCCCCTTAGTCACAGGTGGTGACTGTGTGACCTCGCTTAACTTCTGTGGCAGAGAACATTTTCCTATAGATGGACAAAAATCAAAACTCTCTGATTAACCAAGGTTTTGTTCTCTGGAATGACAGTTCTGTGGGTATGAGTCATGCCTCTTGGCAACTTGTTCATGTCTTTGATTAAGGAAAGCTCATTACCCACATTTCAGCTCTTGTCGTGCCATTCAGATAAACAGACATTTATTGGGTGCAGCCTTGCATTTACCTAAAACAGCTTCCATACCTAAGTGGTATGGATGGTATTTATGTATTTGTGACTAATTCACAGCAAGGGTCCTGGGTTTTTTATGTCTGGTAACCCATGGTTTCTTTATTCTGCAGGCAGCCAACAGCAGCATTTCTCTGAATGTATTTGATCAGAAATTGATGGGCTCACTATGTTTGAACAGGTAATTCAAACCTGTGATGGAAAGAATTTCCAGGCCTTTGGAAAACACTGTTACAATCCCAACATTAGCCGTTTAGGCACATGATCAGATGACTATGTTTCCCTGGTAAATTCATCTGCATTAGATTCTCTACTTCTAGCTGCATTTATACAGTTTAGAGGAGGCAGGAAGCTTCTCTATGACAACTGCCATGTCCCAAGGGACTGCTCACCAGCTGTGGATTGCTGCAGGGGCGTGGTCTCACTGGACTTCTCTGCTTTTTACATCTACTCTCCCCTCTGAGCTAGATAAATGAAGTGTGCAGGACAGTTATGTTGACCACAAGTCATCTCACCATTTCCCTCACCATTTTCCAGCTGGCAAGATGTCACTGCTTTCTAGACCACCTGTGCTACTAAAGAACTTCAGAGCAGTCCAGGACACAGCAAAGAAACTGGGCCCCTGCAGGTCTCCTATGCCAATATTCTTAGAGCAGAGATTCACCAAATGAAGTCCTGCAACTTCCAAGGGTCAGAAAGCTGGAGACCAGAGGCTTGGACATTTAGACATCTAGCATGTCACACTTTATAGAGAGAAGCTCTGTATACCAGGACCTCACAGCTGGGAATTAGGACCCCAATTTCATAAAAGTCCCTCAGGAAGACAGTTACAGGGTTAAGAATATGCAGAGTTTGTAAGGGCAGAGAGATATTAAGAGTTTAAGGAGGATAGTGCTGTTAGCAGTTTTTGCAGCAATTTTCAAAGACAAAAATCTAGACTGTGCTGGAAGCTGGCCTTGAGATCTGGGGTGCCGATGCTGTGGAAACTCTGAAATCTTGTGTTGGATACAAGAGTAACATACAGAATAAATATTTCAATTTGGAAACAGAGACATTCAGCAACAAAGTCAGCAGCAGCAGTACCATATGAGGAACACATTTTTTCTCCCCACCCTAGTAAGACTCACATCAAAGCATTATGCAAATGTACCAAAATCCTTGCAAAATACCTGACATCCTACAAATCCTTGGTTAAATCAATTGTCAGTAGGATTTCCAAAACACAGCACAGAGGGAGAAGCACACTCACATTGCTGGCTACAGCCCTTCTAGCACACTTTTGCATAGATGCTCAGCAATGCCCTAAGAAGAGCACGTCTTTCTCTATGTGACAGTATGCATCGTGTGAAATTGCTTCAAAAATCTCTTTACAGATGCTTTTGAGGCCTGGAGCTCTACAGCAATGACTGTACATGAATAGAATAACTGTGTTTATCCTTTCTTAGTGACTCATCTTGTTTCACTTCTTTCCCTCAGGCTCCAGTTCTCCCTAGCCCACTCCAATGTTGGCTTTTTTGAGGTGAGTGGGTAGTTGAAGCTTATAGGAAATGTAAACCAAGAATATCAGTCATATGAAGGCTAAAGAGTAAGCAGCTACATTTTATCTGTATTTCTAAATTATTTGGCTTCATTCTCAGATGGCTCTTTTCCTGTCTTCTGGCAGCCACCTCTCTGCTGTGGACTTAGAAGTATATTCTTTGGGACAAGTTAGTGCTCTGCAAATGAGACATGCTGTAGTTCCCCAAACTGCAGAAAGCAGAGATCTCTCCAATCACCACGGTGAAACACAGAGCGGTAATCTAAGCTTTGGCAGCAGAGCAGTGTGCCATCTAATGGTCACATGGATGGCTGAGGCACAGGCACTCCATGTGCTGCAGTGGTGCTCATCACAGATGCTCGGGATTACAATAGGGAGGGGGAGCCAAGATACTTATCTCAGATGCCTGAAATAGTGCAGTTGTAGCTTGGCAGGGGAAAACCCTGCCTCCGCAGAGAGTCGTTTTATTCTCAGCATAATCAATCAGTTCCGAGTAGCTGAGGAGAAAGGATTAAAACTGTTCTGGTCCTGCTTTGCTATTGGTGATAAATTATCTCACAAATAAAGGAAATAGACTGTTTTAAACGAAAACGTTGGCTAAGCATGTTGAAATACATTTGCATTTTGCATCTCACTTCCTTTGCATCATTCCAAAGCCTTAAGATCCAAAGTTCACTTGGGTTTATGACTCTTTGAGGCCAAAAGAGATGAAAGTTGAACATGAGCCTACTAATTCCACCCAGGATTAGGGCACGACAGTTCTACCATCATCAGGAAGTGATGGCTAATTCAGTTTTCTTGTCTGTGGCAGATCTCGCTTCTGGAGAACATCCTGTCTTACATTTTACAGACTGAAGTAATTCCATCAGCTAACGGTAAGGATGTATATCAAAGCAGCAGCTAAAAACTTCCAGCAGAGTGGGTGATTCTAGGAACTCCTACTGACTTCCTCTTAAGTTTCCAGTTCCCGTTAGAGAGGAAAATGATCGTCATCCAGTAAGCAGTGGAAGGGGGAGATTGATCTCCAGGGATCTAGGTGCGCCCTCTCACGGCCACTGTTCTGCAAAAAGAGCAGAAATTACTTGGGAACTCATAATTCATCTGCCTTCACCTCAGTCTAGGTGGCCCTGATGCATGAGGGAGAAGCATGTCTCTCTCATCTGCACACCTGCCTGGGGCTACCATGTGTGAAATGTATTCCCCTTTATTAGACCAGCACAGAGGTTTTGCCTCTCATAAATCTTATTTAAGGCCCTGGAGGGAGACATAACTTTCTGCCAGCCCTCTGTACTGGGGTGAACATCACCTTCCTTAGTTAATGGATACAAACAGGTTCTAATGATGCTAGAGCTGTATTAATGATCCCTCAGGGATCGTTAGGGACGAGTCACTGAGTATGTAATGTGTTGAACATGAAATGCCTTGGTTTGGCTGCAACACTCTGCCAAGAGAGAAGCACCTGTAATTCCTTTTCCCCATTGGTAAATGAGCATCCTATCTACCTCCCAGAGCTGCTTGTAAAGACTAAGAGGTAGTTGTTGTCAATGACCAAGTCTCTGGATATACAGTGCTTTTGCAGGGCAAAAATGCATGACTAAATTACTGTTTGTCTCTTTTTTTTTTTTTTTTTTTTAAGCCAAACTCTCAAAAGGATTCCCTCTTCCCAATCTGGCCAATGTTACCTTGACGAGACCTCACATTACAATTGCACAGGTAAGATTTTGGCACTTATGAAAGATTTTCCTTTATGAAAGGTTATCGCTTTTTTTTTTCCTTTCTCCCCCCCCCCCCTTTTTTTGGCCAGGCATTTATTCATCTTTTTGTACCAGAAATTTGTTGCATTTGAGCTACTTAAGTAGTAGAAAACCCTGGGTTTAAAATGAGATCTGTAATAATGGTAAAATCCTATTAGAAACAAATTTGTCTTTCTTTGAGAGGAAAAGTTAGAACTGAATATATAACCATGGAATGATCAAATGCACAACTTGTTCAGCCTTGCAAGTTGCAATTCAGTGTAAAAACAGGTTTAATTCAAGTTTGGCCAATCACATCAAATTAGACTTATTGCTATCCACACAGCCCTGTTGAATAGTTGAAATATGAGAGTGAATTCCATTCTGTGCACCTAGGATGACTGGATTTTGTTGATAATTGGTGATAATGACTGAGGCTGCTAGCCAAAACTAGTTAGTGAGCTCTCAGAAAATATTTTTTTGCCTTCTGGTTACCTTTCTCCAAATCTAGCCCTTAATGTGAGCAAACAGAATGTTGCTAGACAATCAGTCAGTACAAGGGCATTGCTGACAACTTAACGCCCAGAAAATGGGTAAGCTTGTTATATTTTTCCACTTGTTTACCAACTTCTCAAAGTTATTTTCAGCTTAGCAGAGACAGTCTTAAATCTTTATTTGTAGTTAAGCACAAACCACAACTCAGGAAAGGAAATGCAAAGGTTGTCTTTAATTTTTCTTTTCATCCCATATCCGGTAGCAGCCAGCTATGCCATTCCCTACAAAATATAATTGCTTGGAGACTGCTTTCAATGGCTCTCGTTTCCAGCAGTCTTATGGGCTAATTATGAATGAAGGATTTTAGTGATTCTGTGGTGCCTATTCCTCACCTTACTTTCTCTAAGAAGACTCCTTATCAGTAACTAGGAATGAGAGAGGACACAGGAGAATTGCTATGCTCTACCAATGTGAACGGGATTCCTATTTTAGAGCTACTTCTAGAAGCTTCCACGTCCAATCCCAATCTATTTGCTACAGTCTATAGGAAGAAAGACAATTCTTCCCACTTTTCATAGATAGACTGGATGGGGCTTTTAGCAACGTGGTCTAGTGAAAGGTGTCCCTGCCCATAGCAAAGGGGTTAGAACAAGATAATCTTTTAGGTCCCTTCCAACCCAAATCATCCTATGATTTTATGACTGTGATGAGCTGCTCTCTGCAGGTTCATTGCTCTGTATGCACCAACAATGGAGGAAGCTTTAAGGACAAGTTTAGATTAAATGGCTAATTCTTAAGCAGCTCAGATTAGATTAAAAATAATCCCACCTTGTGATGGTTGCCTAGTTGCCTCAAGGCTCAAATGAACTTTGAACATCAAGGCTCAGATGTCCCTTCTGTCGCTAGCATGGTGCAAAGGGATAGCACCCAGGGAAAGATAGAGCCCTTTTGCAAATTTTTGCAAAGGACAGAGTGTAATAATAAACTTGTGACTTCAAAGGCTCAGCTGTTCTCGGTAGCTTTTCTGACCTTAAACACCAAGATAGATTTGAAATTTAAAAAAACCCAACCAAACAAATGAACAAAAAAAAAATCAACTAAACAAAATAACACCTTCATTTTTAATTCACAGCATGTCAATGACTGTTCTTCTCCCCACAGGGATACATATTGATTTCAACTGATGTCCACTACAAACACTAAAGGACAAGAGAGACCGTTTGTTAAGCATGAACTTCAAATCAAGTCAATAATGTGACTCGGAAGACTAAACAATGTCCACTTCTGCTGAAATGTGTAACTTGAGCTCTGACAAGGGCAATGTCATCCTGGCTGGGGGCAAGGGGGATACCAGGAAGCAAAAAACAAACTGATGGAATGGTATAATGGTGGTAACAAACATAGCCAAGGGAGAACATGGGACACATGCTTGACATTATTTATTCTGGTGTTTAATTGATGCAAAAATGTTTTTAAGATTCATGACTCTCTTGAAATACAGTTTTGTCTACACACTTGCAGAAAAGTGCTGCAGTCTCTTAAAAGAAGGAAAAGTACATTGTCAAAATGCTGCTAAGGCAGATATGGCTGCTAATCTGTCTTTATGGTAATGATCTTAAACACATCCTTTCTGTTCATGGTGCATGAAATATAGAGTAAGCCCTCTCCAGAACCATGGAATTGTCATACTGGGATCTGTCCCAATTACAACAGGAACTAAAATCTTTGCAGTTTCTTAACTGCAATCTTAAGATGCAGAAGTAGTTCAGGAAGAAAGATGAAGCAGCACTACTACTGCCTCTGATAGTCCTGCTCTCTCTCTGTTACTCTTCGAATCCTTGTGCCTGTCATGTGCCCACTTTAGCGCTGTGTGGCCAGGTTAGATACATTTAACTCCTCCAATGTTTCTGGGTAAGTCCTGTAGGTCTAATTCTCCAACACCTTTGTCAGTATTTCTCTGAATTGAAGTAGTTACAAATACTTTTTTTCTTACTTCATTTTGGTATGTTATCTTACCCTCTTTCTTCTTCCTCCTTTTTTTCCAATACTTTATTAGTGTGCAAATCAGAACAGAGTTATGCAGAGGAACATGCCTGCCCTGCAATGCTTAGGTGCTTGTGCTCTGGCCAAACCCGGATGGGAAGCTGTCTCTGGCCTCCCAAACCAGCACTGACAAGGATGAAACAAAGGCAGAGGTGCCTCATCCCGCTCCGATCTGCTGCTATTGTGAGCTTTAAACCACCCCTGCACAAAGCCCCATCCACCTGGCAGGGTACTCAGATCCCAGCCCTCCCCACTCCGGAGGAAGAGTCCTTTTCAAGCCAAGACTGAACAGCAAACAACTCCTTCCCTCATGCTGACAAACGCAATCGACGATGGGGTGCGGGCACCTTTTGCCAGACCGGTGCTGAGCAAACTCATCCCACCTGCAGCAGAGCGGTACCTAAATACCCCACGGGCCAAAACTGCTCTGCCCCGGGGGAACAGCTACGTGAAAAAACACTTGGGGTTTTTAGGGTGGTTTTTTTTTTTCCCCCGCAAACCAGCCCAAAAGCCGTATTTAGTGTGAGGGAGGAGGCGGCCAGGTACAAACCCGACCCCTGCGCTCCTCTCACCGCGGGAACTCGGCGTCTGGCCCGGGCTGCTGCAGCCCCCTGGGAAATGGCGCGGCCACGGAGCTTAACTGGGGGCCGGGCCAGCCCTCGGCAGGGCTGAGAGAAAGAGGGAGGGAAGAGGGGAGGCAGGGCTGAGGGAGGAGGTTTGAGCCTCGGCGGCTTCTGTTCGCCGCTGCCGTCGCGGCTGAGGCGGCGGGGCCGCGTCAGTTCCTGCCGCCGCGCCGGTGCCGCCATCGGGAGCCGCCGCCATGAGCCGCAGCTACAACGATGAGCTGCAGTACCTGGACAAGATCGACAAGAACTGCTGGCGGATCAAGAAGGGCTTCGTGCCCAACATGCGTGTGCGTGGGAGGGGGCTGGGTGCCCGGGGCAGGGGTCGGGGAAGGGGAGCGGGGCAGGGGCAGCGGCAGCCCGGCGGCTGACGGCTCTCCCCGCAGGTGGAGGGTGTTTTCTACGTGAACGACCCGCTGGAGAAGCTGATGTTCGAGGAGCTGCGCAACGCCTGCCGCGGAGGAGGTGGGTCCGGTAGGGCCCCCTGATCCGGGAGGGTGACAGAATCAATTAGGTTGGAAAAGACCTCCGGGATCATCCAGGCCAGCCTATGACCGAACGCCACCATGTCCACTAGACCATGGCACTGCAGCCCAGGGCTGTGCTGTGTAGGGCTGAAGTGCAGGGATGGGTCCAGATCTGACAGCTGGGCTGGTGGTGACACATTGCTGTTGTTAGTGCAGACTGCACTCCATCGGTACAAACACAGCACGGGTTGGGCTTTGGTGTAATAAGTACCTCGTTTAATGAAACTGCAGATTGTGCATGTCACTGGGTGCTCTACACCAGATAAGAAGCCTTGTTGGTGGCTGACTTTTAAATTGCCAGTGTTTTGAACAGTTTGTTTAGAAAGCACTTCACTGTGATTATCATGGTAAGTTATCAGATTGTTTAACTTTTTTCTTTTTTTTTCTCTTTTTCAGGTGCAGGTGGCTTCTTGCCTGCTATGAAACAGATTGGGAACGTGGCTGCATTACCTGGTATTGTTCACGTGAGTAACTGCTCTGAAAATTTGCTCTTTTTCTCTTCCTATTTGCCCGAAGTCATTGCTTTTCAAATGGGAACTGTTTTCAGAAGATATATGGACGAAAGTTCTTTTCAAGGCAGTTTGCGTGTTAAGAACCTGTCTCTGAGTAAACTGCTTGCAAGGGCAGGCTGCAAGACTAAGTTGTCAGAAAGGGAAGCATCCACTTACTTCATTACTTGTCTTTTAACATGAAGCTTTTTTAGCATTGGTTTATGCTATTTCCTTTTGCTTGAGCCACATTTCCATCAGTGTCCATATTGACTGCTTGTTGGTTTTCAATTGCCTCTGCTGACCTGGAATGCATGGAGGAGTGAGAAGAGAGCAGGAGGTGATACTGTTTGTATTATTGTTGCTGACCTAATGTGGGTAGCGAGTCCTCCCATGCACTCAACACTCCTTTCCCTTGCCCCATGCCTTTTTGGAAGCAAAGTGTCAGATCTGATAATGCAGGAGGAAAATACTAGGCTGTGACTCTTTTCAGGAAGTGTTAAGTATGATGTGGAAATGATCTCTTTCACACTCAATATTGCAAATATTAATAAGTAACAAATAACAGAATTGTTTTAACAGTCTTTCTTGGTCACTTGGCAGACGTTTTGAATTTATGGCTGCAGTAAAGGGCAGACCATTATGCTGTTAAAATGCCTTAGTGGGCAGCCAAAAGGGAGTAAGGTAGAATAGTAACAACCTGTTAAATAGGAACTCCGTCTGGTAGTTTGTAGGAGAGATGCTACAATCATCTGTGTATT